GGGGAAATGGGGCAGTGAAAAAAAATAAATAACAGCAACTATTTTAATTACAGTCATTTGGTAATATGAGTGGTACAATTTCTGGAACTGGGTTGCCATGGGGTAAAAATATATTAGAAACCACTAACATAGAAGACTGAAGAAACTTGGTTGATCTAGATGAAACGCTTCTGTTTAATTGGATTTTACGGGATAAAGCATTTTTTGGGTTGATACCCGAAGTCCTAATTTAATTCCAAAGAAGAAACCTGGAGACAAATTTTTTGTAGACTTATTCACATGCTGGAACTATATTGGGCTTTTAGCCATGTGAGTGCATTATAAATTCATATACAGTTTGTGTTCCATAAGATAACACTTACACTTTTTTCTATTTTGCTGAGATTTCCACCATTTGACACCTCATACCACATTGAAGGGAGTTGCCGCTGAAACAGGCGCAAAGGCTGCTAAAGTTAGAGCTATCTAATTTACTCTAACCCAGGTGAGTGGTTTTATTGCACTATTATAAAATTTGCACTTATTTGTTTCATAATACACTATGATATGTTTAGATTTGGTCTATATCGTTTAAGGCAACACAAGAAATTCCCCAGGCACAGGCAGTTTTAATAGAACAAAAGGAGCAGTAAAGTTTCAACTTGCTATGAAGTCTTTGTCAAGCTTTATCGCTTAAGTGACATTGTATCTCTCTCTTTTTTCTTCTAATTTCAACAGGGTTTTAATACCCAATCTTAGGAAGCTAACTAACTAGAATGTCATCATATCTTAGCAATGTCATTAATCCTGATCTGAGTACCAGTGACATCAACAATGTGTTCTCTCTTGAACCCCTAATCAAACACAATACAAACGATATTAATAATAGTTTCTTTGATATACAAAACCTATATAAGCAACAAATTAAGGGACATTGGGAGATTACCAGCTTACTTAAATACGTAGAGGACAAACTAGTCCCAAGAGGACTTAGGTCAGATATTTCCAGACCAGACAAAGTCAAAACAGACATACAAATCCAAGAATGGAACAATATTCTTATTGATAGTTCTATAAGACTAATGGAATTTCTAATTAAACTTGAGGAATCCCATTTAGAGACTGTCAATCAGAATCTACAAAAAGAAATCAATAATATCAAAGAATTCCAAACTCACCTGGATTTCAAACAAATGGAATCCAAGTTGAATGATAATTTAGAGAACTTCAAAAAATATATTAGGGAGAAGAAACATCTTAAATACCAACGGGACCATAGGGATTTTAAGGAAGGCACTATTTTCAGATCGAGAAACATCAGGAAACGTTATAGTAGCAGGCAGAGCTCCACCTCTGGAGACACAGAGTGGTCTAATACAGACCAAAGTTCAGAAAAGACGGACAGATATTCCGGTAGGAATAGAAATTTCACACAAAGAAAAGGTATACTAAAACAGGGAGAGAAAAACGTATCATTCCCAGATTCACGAAATCATACCCCTTCAAACATTAAAAGTAATCTCTCAACTCCATGTACCTCTTCACAACCCGATACCTTATCTTCCTCCTCCTCTTTTTTAGAACAGGAGTGGCCTCTACCCCAGAGAGGCAGTCTCAGAGACAGAAAAAGATGGGGGTACAAGACCAGCAAGGAAGGTTACAAAAATTAATAAACCATCATAATAATTATGATAATCTTGTCATTAACCTATCTACTTTCCAACTTACTAAAAATCATAAGTCTCTCCTGAGTAGGGGTCTATCGTTTGTCCCCTCCCCTACCATCAACAAGTTCGATTGGGTAAAAGATATCAATCTCTTTGGGCGGAAACTCGCCCTAAGCATTACCCACCAAAGACAGGAGAATAAACGTGCCAGAGAATTAGGTATCACCCAGGAGGACTACCAACTTGTTCACACAATGGTATCTCTCCTGGACGAACAGAATGACAAACCATCTTTAACTACTTGTAAACCACCCTCTTGGTATACCCCTAATTTCAAAGAGGTAACTAGTGTTGACCTCTTTGTACAGATGACCAAAGCATTGGATGCCCTTCCTTCCCCTACAAATGATACAGACAATCTAACTAAAGCAGAACGTGCAGCACTTAGTGATCTCAGTAGAAATAAAGATTTAGTCATTAAACCCTCGGACAAAGGAGGGAATATCGTACTTATGAATCAGGAGAATTATATCAATATGTGTATGGAACACCTTAAAGATACTACTCAATATCGAATACTCTCCAATGATCCTACAACCACCTTCCTTACCGAATTAAAAGCTCTGCTAACTCAAGCCCTGGGGGATGAACTAATCAAAAAGGAGGAATATCAATTTATGATTCCAATTAACAACCCTACAATTTCCACATTCTATGGTCTTCCTAAAGTTCACAAATCACTAACTAATCCACCAGGGAGACCGATTGTGTCGGGTAACAACTCTTTGACTGAAAGAACCAGTAAGTTTCTAGAACAACTTCATCCATTCGTCACCAATTTGAATTCCTATGTACAAGATACCAAACAGACCTTGTTGGTATTGGAAAATTTAGAGGTTCCCCCCTATTCACTTCTGGCAAGTCTGGATGTGGTTTCATTGTACAACAACATCCCCCATGACAAGAGTTTACAGGCTACCGCCTATTTTCTACAGAAATCCACTAAGTACAATCCTGCACAAATTGAACTTATTCTAACACTTCTGGAGTTTGTTTTAAACACACAACTATTTTGTATTCGACGGGTTATATTATTTACAACTTCAGGGTAACGCTATGGGCACTGCTTGTGCCCCTAGCTACGCAAATCTGTACCTGGGGTGGTGGGAAGAAAACCTGTTTATAGATACAGTAACTAATCAGTTTTGTCAATATGTACATAAATGGCTGAGATACATCGACGACATTTTAATTTTCTGGACTGGTTCTTGCTCGAACTTTACCGATATGGTCAAGGCTCTCAATAACAATCAAATTGGATTACAATTGACACATGTCATCCATGAAACGCAATTAGAATTCTTAGATTTAAAAATTTTACTAAATATGGACGGTACAGTAGATACTGAACTGCATAGGAAAAGCACTGCATCGAATAGTCTTCTAGATTGGCGAAGTTTTCACCCTTATCGTCTCAAAGCGGGAATCCCTTACGGACAGTACCTCCGAGCTAGGAGGAACTGTTCTAACGAAATGTCCTTTAAAGCTGAAGCGGACAAGCTAAGGACACGCTTCAAAAAATAGAGGGTATCCCAATAAGATTCTAAAAAAAGCGTTTCAGCGAGCCTTGGCCCAAGATAGAAGTTCTAGCCTTCACTCAAGCAAGGTTACCCCACCTAATCAATTGATTAGATGCATTGGGACCTATGATAGACAGTGGCAACCTATCAAGGAAATATTTACTCCGCATTGGCCAATTTTACAATATGACACGGATTTAAAATCACAAGCAATTACATACCCCAACATTACAGCACGCAGGTCCAGAAACCTCAGTGGACTTCTTGGTACATAGTCACTTTGAGAGAAAAAAAAACCATCTATAAACTGGCTTACGGCACCGACAGGAATTCATAAATGCGGTCATTGCAAGGCATGTCCCTACATAAAACAGTCCAAAATGATCCAATGTACCAATACCCAAAAAGAATTTAAAATTAATCAGTTCATAAATTGCAGCACTACACGAGTCATATATGTAATTACATGCTCTTGCGGCATGCAATACATCGGGAAAACCTATCAAGAACTAAGGAGACGCACCCTACAACATGTGAACTCAGTAAGAAATCTACATCTCAGTACCCCTGTCGCCATCCATGTACGGAATTTCCATGATGGAAACCCGAACCATCTATCCTTTCAGGCCTTAGAGAGAGTTAATTTGAACTCTAGAAAAGGTAACTTCAATCTTATACTCCTTCAGAAAGAGTCCAGGTGGATCTATGAATTTAAAAGTCTTGCCCCTGGCGGTTTAAATGAAGAATTCAACTTTACCCCTTTTATCCACTCACATTAGGGCTTGCATAACTGAACTCAGTCTCTCGGGGCTTACATACCATCTAAAACCTATAACTATAGACACATTATTCAGTTCGATTTATAGTTACCCCTCTATACAATGGGTGAGTTATACTTACCTTTTGTTTCTTTCTCTCTCTTTTGAAGGACCGTCACCGGTCATTTCGGGTACGTCTTTAGACTGTTTCTATTTGCCAGACAAGATAATACCCATATAGTATCTAGACTCTTTTTCTATGCTGGGATTATTATTATTAACCTTTGCGGACAATGTTTTATCCTCTTAGGGTTCATCTCCCCTTGTTAGGTTTTGTCTTTCATCTTGCGGCTTTCTCTTTTATTTAGCCATTTGCATTATTGTGTTCTCAGCACAATTTTGTTAATATTGGTTTTAATTTTCATACATTATTGAGCGAGTTAAAAATCTCTCTCGCCTGGGTCCACGTGTATTGGCTCCCTCTATTTCAGTATCTCCTCACTATTTAACAATTTTCCTACTGCTAAGGTTTAAGTTTCCTTACTCAGCCTTAAGCGGACCCAATTATTGGATTTCCGCATCGACGCTCATATATTTACAGGGTGCCCTAATTGCGGGTACTGAATCCTAATGTGTCATTGTACATTGTCTTAAAAAATTTAAAAAATTTGGCTGAACATGTGTTTTGCATTATTTTCTTATGACCTTATTTAGGTACCCTTGAGATTTATCAGTAATTACAGCAAATTCTTCTACAGTTCTCTACGGTCATTTAAGGTGTCTTATCCATTTACTTGGTAATCCTGTACAATAGTCCACCTTCATTCCAATCTTCTTAATCATGAGATGTTTTCTCGTCTTCTCTTTTTGGGATTGATACTTTAATCTCAGACTTAGTGTTTCATTTTACTAATTTCTCTCACATATGGTTTAGAAAATGTATTATCCTTTTCGGCACCTATCTAGGTAGTTTGTGTACTTTAATATACAGCCGAACCTGCATAGGGTGCTATATGCTATATTCTCTTTATATTTACATTTTTATTATTGTCCACCTGTACCCGTCTAGTCTGTCCAATTTCTATAGGGCAGCATTGGTCTTCTACTTCCCTCTGAACATCAATACGGTCTTCTTTCATATACTGTCCTGATGATCGGACAGTGCTACTAACCACTCTCAATTTATCGGATATATTTTATTGGCATATATACAAAAGTTAGAATTATTCTTTATCTTTCTAGGTTATTTTACATTCAAACCCATCTTTTTTCCTCCCTCTTTGTTTTTCGACATTTTTTCAACTACTTTCCCTGTACCCTGTCATAATGTACTTGACAGTGTTAATCAAGTATACACATATCATAGGCTGTCATACTTACCGGCAATCCTCATTGGCCAAACCGAATCAGCGGTCTTTTTCAAATTCTCCCTATCAGCTTCATCCATGACCTTTAAATAGCTGATACTCACCACACATCGGTTCCCCTCTGATGAGTTGTGGGCGAAAGGCGCGCGTCAGGGGACTCGGGTGATTCATTGTAACAACTCTCAGTGTGGTCTCTCTACCGGCATTACCACACTCCTACATGAATCCCAAGTATCATTCCTGTTAAGGACTGGAGCAGACTTATGTGACCAAACTTAGAAAGCATTAATTATGATTCATTTTTCATTCAATATTTTATCATCATTCTCTAGCTTTCTTTCAACCTGCTTTTTTTGTCTTTAGCAGTTTGTGTGAGTCACTTTAATGATTTAGGCTCCACTATCTATGTGCACTACTAGCTACAATTGTATTATTAGTTAGTTATTTATTCTAATTACCACATCGTGCTTGCTAGTTATTAAGATAGAGTCTCTATTGCAACTTTGTTTTGTTGCAAGAGACATACTTTAGAGGTAACCTGAAAACTTCTGAACAGGTCCTCTATGTAGCAATATCCATCCCCTTTTGCTAATGTTTGCTACTCGTGTGTTAATCCTGTGATATTGGGCTGGCGTAGACGCACGGGATCTATATATATATATATATTTTTTTTTTTTTTTATTAGTACCCCTTCTACTCCTGATACCGTTGACGCACCATGTGTTTAATTGACATATTTCTACTAGCGTCCCAGTAATATACGCTGCTCATTTTCACATTCTACACATTAGAGTCGCCTATACATTATGTGAACTACTTATTCTAATTCTCTTTTGTGACTTGTAGCGGTTTAGTTGCTGCACCGCGTACCCAGCTTTTTTTGTCTTTTAACCATTTAGCAATTTATATTGGTGTATGTATTTTCGACTTTTAGACTTTAGATATACACCCATATATTTAGTACCTTGTTTTCTCCCCCTTCCCTTTCTTTTTATATCTATATGAATAAAAGTTAATTTTTAATTTATTACATTTAGAGCACTAAGTCTTTTTCCTTCTCTGCTCACTACCTAGGTAGTTTACCATGGGTTAACCCCATTTTTGAGTGCTCTCTGAGCTTCCACGCCTTCTCTCTTTTTTTCTTCTGACATTGTATCACATGAGCAGATTTTTTTGTTTGACATAACTATTGCATTCTTTAGTAATTTGTATGAGCACTATTTGAATATACGTGGTCCATTTCACGATTTATAGTTTTACTGGTGCATAATTAGTTGATAGTTTTGTTTTTGCACAAATTGCAAATCCGTATGTGGCAGGAAACAATCACAAGTGATGCAAAACCTCAAAAAAACCATAACAAACCAAAAAAATAAAAATTGTCATCAAATCTACATTATTCACAAACGCAAAGTAATTTATTTGCTCAAATCTAAGTTGTAGCACACTGAAATCCAAATGTTAATTTTTAAACTAAAATAACCTGCATTTTTTTTTTTTTTTAAATTAACAATTTTTTCCCATTCTGCTCGGCCAATGAATGTATTTAAAACATGGCTGAGCTTCATATAGTTATTGCAGAAGTGTAATTTCTCCATTAAATATAACCGAAGGGGGGGGGGGAGGATGGAGGAAGTGGTGTGGTTATGGTGCCAAGCTTGCTTCTTTAATGGCACACACCCAAAAAAAATAAAAGGAATAAAAAGCAAAAATAACCGCGTTACTAAAAGGCAAAAAAATAAATAAAAGAAAAAAAGCTCAGCCCTTTCGTATCACTTAGCGCCAATCCCACGAAGAAGACATTTAGGCGCCCAATTTTGTAAAACTTGAGCAGTTGGACGAGTGAGCACGAAGTCGCACAGATTCGACGTCATTCCCACCCAAAGCCGTTGGCGAATCGCGAATTGCCGAGCGCACTGCGCATGCGCGCTACGTGACCCAGTGCGACTTTAACCGTTTGGATCCTGAAAGAAGCAGGCGCAGCACAATGGAGCTCAGCGAATGGGTTAACTGAAGCCCTCTAGAGGTAAATATCAGAGAATAGTAGTTCAAAACGCGTTTACCGTCGCCGATTTCGTAACCACGAACCCTGTGCACCGGTTTCGATTGTTTTCACTGCAAATTAGTTTCTTTAATAAACTAACATGCTGCTCGGGGAGGGTGGGGGAGACTCGGCACAGGCCTCGCCGATATAGAGTCCTCTTTGACCTGTCCTACTCCGTGTCTACATATGGAGACCGCCGCCACCGATTGCCTTGGAGTTTAGCCACTTCGGTGGGGCTGGTTTACGGGGGCCGCCTATCCCTGGTACTTGCTGGCCGGTGTGGATCTCGCTAGTTACCTTTCACGTTCTCACTCCCAGAGGCGGATACTTGGCCACGAGTTTAAACAAACAGCTGGTCGTCCACTCCGACAGTGGAGTTACGGAGAATTCAATGTAAGAACGATTTTTGTTTTCTGATGATTTAGAATGAATCAAGAACCACTTCCTGTTTGGTGCTGTTTTTTTTGTTACGTGCTATGGAGGTAAAGGGAAGTAATGTGGGGTTTTTACGTACGTGAGGGAAAGCGTTATCAGCTGTGTAATTGAACGCAGAGCTGTTCATCTGGTTACACCAGTGCATTGTTTAACCCCTTAATGACTGACTTAGAATACTTGCCAGTTTCCTTGCGTTATAGGGACTTTGTTCTGCATTTTTTTTATACTGTACTTTTATGCTTTTTCCAGTAAAGTTAATTGTTTTAACGGCAAGCATTTCCATAAAAAAAATAACTTGTTTATTATAGATGTAATTTCGATTTCTTTATTTTTTTTTAAAAAAATTATTTTGTTTTCTTAACACCTACCTCCTTTTGAAGTGGCACTGCTACCACTATGATCCAGGCTCTGTTGGTGCTGCAATAATGTACCTTCTGCTCGTCTCCTAAACTATTATCCCTGCTTGAAAAACATCACCAACTAGGACACTGGAAATGTCATATTTTGCCATAAGCATTTGTGTAATTACCCCGGGTGCACTTTTTCCAGTGATGCTGACCTGCTCATTGCCAGCACATAGGAGTCGGAACGGGGTAACCTGTACCAAAGTTATAGGTTAAATGAAAAGGCTCTCGTGTAGAGGAAACGTGTTGACCTTTTTAATCTGGACTACTCTTATGTATGGGATCTGCCTGATATGCCAGTGGCATAGGCTCTCTGTGATGGCACAAAAAATATATATTTTTGTATGTATATAAACATGTTTTTATTAAGGTGAATGTGGAATAGACTTGGCTTAAATATATAAAACACATGAAGAACAATGTAAGGTGCTATCACACCTTACAGAACTATACACACTATACAGAAACCTAGAGAGGTGTAAACATAAAATGTAAACCGCATTAACCGGCAGATTTAAAGAAAGGAGACTAACATAGCAAATGTTAAATCTTCCGCTGTCATATGCTTGCAACATAAAATACCACTGGGTTTTCAAGTAGCAACAAGCGGCTAGACAGTATAGACTGAGAGACTGGTACATGATTAATGTAGATTCTACAGCCAGGACAGAGAGGAGAGCTCAGCCGATGCCTACTTCCAAAAAAAGTCTGCCACGATAATAAGGTGCGAGTCCTCCCCCCAGCCCAAGAACTGTCACAATGCACTCACTTATCCATTAGTGTATGGCATCTAGGGATCTTCCCACCTATTGCATCCAATGCTATAGAGTGGGGATGTCCTGATGGTGTGACTGTGCACAGGGGCTCGTCCGGATAGTGGCCTTAGTGAGTGGTGGCGAGGCTGGGAACTGGACACCTGGTAATGTGCTGACCACAGCTTCCGCCCCTGTTTAAGCTCTGCGGTACCTTGCTGGAGACACATGGAGTAAGCTTTTACTTGTGCCATCAAGAGAGGAAGGTTGAGAGTCTATGGCATGGAGTTTAGGTAAGGTACCAACGGCTTGTTGGTGAAGTGTATATTAAAATTGTGAGCATATTCAATCAGTGGCTTGAGTAAGCGGGCCCAGAGCAGCTACCATCTTGAAGAGTATGCCTCGAAGCACCCAACTGCGCTGGACTGCAAAAGTCTCTCAGAGGAGGCTAGGTAAGCTAGCCATAAGGGACCAGAATATCTCCTGTTGGTACATGGCAGGGACTAAAGGAAAAAATCAGGCACGTCCTGGACAGAGGATCATCTGCCTTCCCCACCTCAAATGTATCTGCAGAGAAGACCAACACTGGCAATACCTAGTGGGTCCAACTGAATGCAGACCAGACATTTGGCTTGGTATTCCCTGGTAGATCAGGATATCTTCTGAACATAGTGCATTTTCACAGGGTAAAAAGCTTAATATCAGACTTTCCTTCAGGAGCAGCAGCTATATGCGACTGTCTCGGTCGATTCTCAGGCACCTACTCATAATACTTTTTTGCCATCTGAGTAGAGACTAAATGAAGTTTATGCTATTAAAGTGACTCTCACGTTCTGGAGTGACCACCGATGGTGACATTGCTGCTTGGTGTGCAGCAGACTGAGAGTACAGGGGAAGGCAGATTCTACTTAAGTGAAGCTGTTCATGCTGGCCGCTATCATCTGCCAGGAGCCTGTGTCAGTGCTGTACAACACTGATGTCTAAGGAGGCTTCTTTCTTATGACGCCTCCATAGACCATGCCTTTTTCTGCAAAGCCATCGCTAGTGAATTCTGGGGGAATTGACAAAATCTGATAGTGATAGTTCTGCCTGTTATCAAGTTTTGTCAAGCAGAGGGAAAATACATAATACAAAGTATGTGATCACTTTTTTAAATCCGTTTTCTGTTTGAGTAACTATAATCATATGTGTCTTCCAAACTATGCAGTGAATGCATGGTTAACTTTATTTCTCTTGCTAAATAAAGTTTTTGTTTTTTTTTTGGACAAGTTCCAGATACACATTTTGGTAACTTACTTACACAATAGCAAAACTATTTATTGAACGTAAATCAGGCCAAACTCATATATATGAAAACTAGCACATATGTGAATTGATAAGTTAGGCTAAACTGCTGCAAGTAATTCAGTATTTATCATCTGAAATGGTTATCGTATAAGTGCATTAATGCTTATTGAGTACTATAATGCTTGTTTTTCTTTACAGAAGCCACTGGAATTGTGCAATTTAGAAGAAAGTACTAGTCTCAAACAAAGAAATCCCATTTATTTACTATAGCTTTTGGACTTGCAAAACATGGCACTACAACCTGAAAAGAAAAAAGGCAGGTCTTTAAGCCTTGCAGGTATTGCACAAATCTCAAATGACATCTCAAGGAAGTTCTTGGACCGCAGTGACCTGTCAAGACTTTTGCGTATCACTTCTAGTTCTCTTAAAGACCACATTCAAGTTCTTGCAGAATTGGATAACTTTTTGATTGCTGACCCGCTTGCCAAAATAAAATTGGTTTTTGTGGAGGACACTGTGTTTGTAAAAAACATCTTTGTAATATCCTCCAATATGCAAGAAATTTCTCAAAAATTCCCTGAACATCTCTATATAGATCTCTTAAGTAATGTTTGCCCTGGCTTTGACTTGTACACAGTGTCCTGTGAAGATGATAACTCGGATTGGAAGATATGTGCCAGTTGTATATCAAAAGCAAATAATTCTGATGTATTGCGGTTTTTAGTTGTGTCTGTCTTGCAAAGTATTCCTAAAATGAAATCTCAGATCAAGTATATAACAATACATCCAGCAATAAGAGATTCACTAGACATGGGCACACTTTTACCAAATGCAACAATAAGACACTGTATTTTGTTAATTGTGCAAGTTATAGAAAAAAAAATATCTCACCTTCAGTTGGCTACCCAGGCTCAAATTAAATCAATATTTAATATTCTGCTCAATACACGGTCATTGAAAGTCTACAATCGGCACTTAAATGAGTTAAAGGGACTTTGTCCTGCTGAGGTTTTTCAGTACTACCTTGATACATGGCATCCAAGCAGAAAACAGTGGTATGCAAAGGACAACAAGAAAGCGAAAACGGAGAAGACAATTGTTGCCTATGTTATGTCTTTGCATTATACACTTGGAACAGAAATTAATAGTTCATTTTCATTAACCGATTGCCTTCGTGTTATCCTTAATGACACTCGTGAATTAAAAAGCGTGCCAGATGTTTTACCTTCTGTGGAACCTCAACATGTGCCTGAAGTACCTTCAACTGTTAAAGAAGAGGTAAGTTTTAGTGTTGTAAAAAAATGTAAACCCCTTTTAAGGACAGCATTTTACACTGTTTTTGCAGCTAATCACTATTAGATGTATTCGCTTATTTGTCTTGATTTTTGGAACAATACATAGTTACATAATAAGCTAGGTTGAAAAAAAGACTCAAGTCCATAGCCTTCTAATTTTTTAAAACAAATTTGTTTAAAATAATTGGCAATTGCTTTCCCAATTTGAAGCAATGGCAATTTTTTCACACAAAGGCGAAACAATCCATTTTGACTCCATAATTGCAATCCGATTCTTTTTTTTTGTTTGTTTGTTTGTTTGTTTTTTTTTTATTATTATTTATTTATTTTTTCTTGAATCAACCAACTGTTAACATACATGTTACTTATATTCTTTTTTTTTTTTTTTTTCAAAAGGCATCCAGGCCTTTTTGAAAAATATCTTTAATATCTATAATTTGATAAGACATCAATATAGTTCCACGTCTTTATTCTTACTGTTAAGATCCTTTTCCTCTGCTGTAAGCGACATCTTTCTTCCAGGCTCAATGTATAACCTCTTGTCTATTGCATGTCCCTTCTAACGACCAGGTTATCACCTGGCATTTTATTCTGATCCTGTACAGTGCTTTCATATCCTATCCTTTTTATTTTTTTTTTTTTTCCACCCCCTTATTCATTTTATAATTCTCATCTACACTTCTGCAATACCTCTCTTTAAAATTTATAAAGAGGCAATATTATATTTGGATCACGTGAATCAAAACCTTTTTTTTATACTTGAAAGCACTTATTAGCTTTTGCAACAGCAAACCAGCATTGCATACTGTTGCCTAGTTAGTCATCTATAATTGTTCCCAAGTCCTTTTCATTTATTTGTATCCATAACTCTACCTCATTTAATGTATAAGTCCCTTGTCCTTATTCCAAAGTACATTACTTTGCATTAATTTGTATTTAATCTCATGTGCCACATGCCTGCCCAGTCCCAAAATTTACCCAAATCCCTCTGTGGATACGTTATATCATGTTCAGACTGTATTATCTTACCTTGGTTTGTATCATCTGCAAACACAGACAAATGATTTTTATTGCCCACTTTAAGATCATTTATATGCAGATTAAAGAGAAGTAGACCGAGGATAGAACCCTGAGGCACTCGATTTACCACTTTGGTCTAATTTGAAAATTTTCCACTTCCAATCTCTTTCTGCACTTTGTCTTTAAATGGTTATACTAAACATCATAACTACTTTCAGAGTGCTGTAGTAGCTATGATGTCAGGAGTACCCTGGCCCGATTCCCTAGTAACAGGGATAATAAATGTTCTTGGATAAATGGCATACTTCTATCCATGAACAAAATGTCATGTAAACCAACCAATTTCAGCTTTAATATTAGCCTTTTGTGTGAAACTGTACCAAATGCTTTAGCAAAATCTAAGTATATCACATCCACTGAAATATTACAATCTATATACCAACTAACTTCTTCATAGAATACGATTAAGTTAGTTTGGATTGATCATATGAATTGAAACTGTAAAACTATGTTGATTCTAACTAATTATATTGTTAAAAATTAATAATTGAATACTACCCCTTAACAGCCGTTCATACAGTGGTATATATTTTACACTAAGCTCCCTAAATACTCGTGGCTGAAATCAATTTGACCTTGGGGCGTTGTTTATATGCAACTGATCACCTGTTTACTGTAAGGTTTTTGTAAATGATATCCGAATTATAGATTCTTCTTTGCTATATACTAAAGAAAACAAAATATTTCAAATTTCTTCTTTGTTTTGATTTTCTTAAATTAGCAGACCCATCTCAGATTCCAGTGGATCAACACTTTTTTTAATTTTCTAGCTTAGACCATCTAATTGCCCTTTTGCAAGCCCTGTTGGCATGCTCGATTTTGTTATAGGATGCTATTGACCAATCTAATTTTAAATGTCCTTTTCTTATTTTTCATGTTAATGGTATATGTTGAGAAATGTTTTTGTAGAATTCATTTTTACCTTCCATTTATCCTCTGCAAATTTTTTCAGTTAATAGTTCTTGCCAGAGAGTGGTTTTAAAGGAGCCCTTAAAGGAACACTATAGTCACCTAAATTACTTTAGCTAAATAAAGCAGTTTTAGTGTATAGATCATTCCCCTGCAATTTCACTGCTCAATTCACTGTCATTTAGGAGTTAAATCACTTTGTTTCTGTTTATGCAGCCCTAGCCACACCTTCCCTTGCTATGATTGACAGAGCCTGCATGAAAAAAAAAAACTGGTTTCACTTTCAAACAGATGTAATTTACCTTAAATAGTTGTTTCTCAATCTCGAAATTGAACTTTAATCACATACAGGAGGCTCTTGCAGGGTCTAGCAAGCTATTAACATAGCAGGGGATAAAATCTTAATTAAACAGAACTTGCAATAAAGAAAGCCTAAATAGGGCTCTCTTTACAGGAAGTGTTTATGGAAGGCTGTGCAAGTCACATGCAGGGGAGGTGTGACTAGGGTTCATTAACAAAAGGGATTTAACTCCTAAATGGCAGAGAATTGAGCAGTGAGGCAGCTGCCCAATCTAGTAAGCCCTGGTGATACAACTCAAAAAAACACTTTAATTATAAAAAGATTGGTGCGCATCAAAACAATAAATATTATAATACCCACTAATGATACTTATGTGAAATACTCAGACCCCACACACGTGACACTGGGTGATGAATATTACATACAGTGATAGTAAAGAAGTAGTGAGACAAACGTATATGCCAAATTAAAATAATGATCTGTGGCAAAATAGTGCAGGGAAATTCACAACAAATATACTTGCACAAACCGCTTCTGGCTACCCAACGAATTTGTGCTACACTGTTTTTAAGGAATACTTAAACAATTTTGTTACCTTGTGTCTGGCTGCAAGTGTATCCATCGGATCCCACGCTCACCAGGGTCTGATTCCCCCAGAGCCCTATAGTGGAGAGTGGTACTTTTACCACCCCAATCTTGTGTCTCCAATTCTGAGCATTCTTTTTTTTATCAATTGTGATTTTACTTTACATATTGCACTAGTTTTTTTTTTTCTATTTATTTATAGATTCAATGACTGTGAAGCTGTTTGTGCAAGTATATTTGTTGTGAATTTCCCAGCACTATTTTGCTACAGATCATTGTTTTAATTTGGCATATAAGTTTGTTTCACTACTTCTTTAATATCGCTGTATGTAATATTCATCACCCAGGGTCACATGTGTCTGGGTTCTGAGTATTTCACATAAGTATTTTCAGTGGGTTTTAGAATATTTATTGTATTTATGCGGACCAATCTTTTTATAATTATACTATATAATTTTTCATTTATTTTTATTAGGTCTGCGACCCTCGGGAGGTTCAAATCAAATGCTTTCCCACTAGACCAACACTAACCAAAACATTAAAAAAAATATTTGAAACTAGCAGATGTTAAATTTTATTGTTTGTGTGTATTGTAATTGGCTTGTGCAGGGCAGAACGGCACAAAGGCTTTACAAAGCTTTCTCCTGGCTGATAAATTTCATCGGTGTATTTAATGTAACTTAAATTTTTGTTGTTGGTATTCATAAATAGTGTCAGCTATGTAAAGTTAACTCCTTTGTCACAGCTGTTCTTTATAATTTAACAAACTTGTTGACATCAATTAGTTCTTAAGAAGGCTTATATATATGCAGTTACTATGCATACACACTACAAACAGTCGACAAACTTACACATGCACTATCCACAGCCAGCACAAATCACCCTTTACAGACTGCTATGGGGGCAGACACTTTCCAGGTTATTTACAAAACTCTGAATGTTTACAAATCAAATCTGTTTCCTCCTACTTAAATGTCTACCATAAGGCTTCCAGATCTTCATCTGTATTATTGCATACCATTTTTTTTACCAATTGGATTAAATTCAGGTTGGATTTGTAAACATGCCATTCCCCCTTTTCTATTGTTTTTATCCTTTCTAAATAATGCATATCCATTGAAAGTAACAGCTTGAACTTCATAATCTCAAGTATGTATGTATGTATATGTGTATGTCTCTTTATGGCTCACAAAGAAACTAAAGATATAATTTACCTGTAAATATAACCACTTCTAAGGCTGTAAATGCATAATTTATCATAGCGTTGAACCTAGCACAATTGTTTTTAAAGGTAGTTTATAACTTGATCATTGGTTTCCCTGCTTCTGTTTGTTATGATTCACATAGTATGTGTAAGTTAAAATAAATTAGTAGTTTTGTGTCTTTTATAGATGTTTGATGAAAATCCACCAAACGAATTGGAACACATGGAGTTCTACAGTTGGGAAGCTTTCCATACATTCTTGAGCTCCTGGTGTAAAGAGCGCAAAGTTATTTTTGTTATTCGCCATTCAGAGCTCCTCACCAGTGAGGATGTGAACGAAGAGCTGATTCAGTCTCTTAAGTACAGTGCAGTTAATCTTGGATGCACCAGTTACACCAGGTAAATTGATGTAGATTAGCGTTTCTTGTGCAGAGCATGTGTTTGCTACTGCTTGCTATGTGTGTATGTATATACTGTTGGCAGTGCAAATTGCCATATTATGCTCAAGGTAGGTACCATATCTGATTTACCAGTGCAATGTTAAAAAGTTGAATTGCTTTTGGGCACAATGTTGTTGTTTTGTGATTTTGTTTTTGTTAATTGAATTTACAATGCCTGTAACCAAGGATTTGCTCCTGTAAGAAAGGGTAATCATGCTAAGACCAAAATTGTCAGAGATATTTGAGATAAATCTACTACCCTTGGAATGTATTGTTTGTGTTCAATTAAGGTTCACTCATTGAAATTTTGGGAAATGTTTTTGGAAGCGCTAGGGCGGTGATCGGTGAGTGCTAGGGTTTTCCGTAAATGTTTCCTTTTTTATTTCATCTGCTATGGTTGATGTAATTTTTGTTGTAATATAGTTCTCAATGACAGTGATTTTTCTTCTTAATAAATGTCCTTTATTATATTATACTTTCTACCCTCAAAACAACTTCAGATCCTTTAAGGTGGTTGGTTTTTTTGAAAGCTGGAATCCCTGGCATCATATTACCTTAAAAGGGGCACTCAGGTCACCATAACAACATTGTCTAAATTAAGTTGCTTACAATCAACCAATCAGAGTTATGAGTCAAATTACACAGCATGGGAAAATTCCAAAGAAATTTCCTATGCTATGTAAAATTACTCAAAGCACTCTGGTTGGATTTCAAGCCAACTAATCAGAGTGCTGTGACAGGTAAATGAAGAGACTTAGCTGTCAGTAAACCAACCAATCAGAGCGCTCTGAGCCTAATTGCAGGGCGTGGGAAGTGCCTTTCCCCGAAGTGCTGTGCCCTCGCTGGCTGAAGATTAATAATTTTTTTGGGGGGAGGTGGGGGCAGGAGAGGTCAGGTTTTTTTTAAATTTTATTTGATGAATTTGACGGGTATTATGTATTATTTTTATTTTTTTATTTTTTTTACAATTGTGAGCAGTGGCATAGCGGGTAGGGGCATTCGGGAGATTTCAATCTCCCTTATGCTATTGTGGGTCATATTGACCCCCATAGAGTGAGGGAAGACATGGGGGTCTTAGGAGGTGGCAGGGAGCACTGCTCCCTTCCGCTTCTGTTTTTACATATTACAAACCAGTATATTGCGAGCCAGTAGCTCCCTCCTTGTAATAAACCGAGCAAACGAAGAGGTCTTCGTTCATTCATTTGAAATTTCTATTCATGTATTCTTCTTTCTGATGAATAAATAGATGAAATTCCTGTTTGAAGTGTTTAACTGGGCATGCGCGGGAATTTCACAACGCTAGTGTGGGCAGATGACGTGCCCCACAGGGACTTCATCTACCCACAAAAAGATGGCAGCGCCCAGGACCTAGGTTCAGGCACAAAATAAAGGTTAAAAAATAGGTAATATGGGGGTGACTAGGGGGACAATTAGATTTAGTGGAGTCGGTAGGGGGGGGTTAAAAAACAAACAAACTGGATTCGGCCATGACAGTGCTGCTTTAGGAGTGTTTATATGCAGTATGTGTTGCCATTATTTTCCAACTCTTCTACAGAATCCCACCATTTTGTCCTGCTGTTACTTGCTGCTTGTATGCAGTTGTCTAAATAAAAAAAACAACTTTACCATTGTATTATGCTAATCACTTACCAATCCTGTAAAGCAAATTCTTGAGACGGTATCACGTTGAATGTTTTCATGTAAATATACTAAGTGTAGCGATGATTTGGAAATGCTGATTATGTGCTTGTACACCATACCAGCAACATATCCTCTCCCCTGCTTTTTCTGCACGTTGCTGGTCCTCTAGTTTCCCTGCAGGCCTTCTAGTTCACATATGGTGGTCCTGCCCATGGCTACACCACTAGTGGTGACAGATTCTCAACTCCTGATACGGAATGTATGCATTCTCATGTTCTCATGCTCATGTTCGCTCAAATACCTTAGTATTATTTATTGTTAATGTAACCTAAAGACTTCTCTCCCAAGTTTAGTAGGATCTGTTTATTTATTTTTTTTGGCTGCACCGCTGTGCTTGACGAGAGCTTGGAAATCAACCGTAACTCCACAGTTGTTGTATGTCATTGAAGAGGTCTCTTTTTATAGCAAATTGAGACATTTCATCCACCTCTAATGGTGGGTGGCGCACTGTTTTTTGGGGGGTGGGGAGGGGATTGTGTCCATACCCTGGACAGATCAGTGCTTTCTGTGGAGAGTTCTCAATTTAATGTTTCCTGTAAGTTTGATAGCCAGACCCTTTGACTCCACATGCGATGCAGCAACTCTGTTCCACTGCTTCAGGAATTTTATTTTTTTTATATCTCTTTATTTTTAAGAGGATGTTCACCATTGGTATTGACAGTTGGAGACTGCTCATGTCTTCCTCCCTTCCTCTTTTTCTTTTCTTTTTCTTTAGGGTTTCTAGTGTTTTGTGGTTTGTGACCCATTTGCAATATTTCTATGATAAAATTAAATGAACTTCAAGTTGGAAAGAAAGGAGTCAGGTGTTTATTTTAGTAAAGAGTAAATCCTTTTTGATTCACAATTTGAATGACTACATTATTTCTCTGTTCTTGATAGGAAACGTTGTCCTGCCACAATTCATTTGAGATTGGGACCTGAAAAGGATAAACTCATAATTACAAAGGCTGACCTCAATCACATCCATGATTCTGAAATTGACCTGCCGTCTCGTTTTACAAGAAAACCAGTGTCTTTTGTGGAAATCCCTAAGACGGTATCATCTGATGTTAATGAAGATAAATTTATGGATAAAAATGACTTGACAAAGCTTTTACGCTTACACTCTCCACTTAGTGAATCACAGTTTTTGGATGAACTCGAATCTCTCTTTAATTCTGATCCAACTGTAAAAGTTAAAATGGTTTTCTCTGAGGAGAAATTCATAGTAAAGAACATTTTTGTGATGACTACTGCAATGCAGAATTTGCTGCAGCATTTTCATGAACATATCTTTGTTGACTTCTTTCGTGCTCTAAATCAAGAGTTTGATTTATATTCTGTCCTTTGCCAGGATGAAAGTTTTAACTGGAAAGTATGTGCCTACTGCATTGCAAGGAAGGATTCTCCAGAATCTTTAAAGTTTCTCATGAATTCTTTCTTGCAGAGCAACCCTAATTTAAGCAAAAAAGTGAAATATGTTACATTAAGTCCAGAAATACTGAATCAAGTTGATACTGAGGTACTGTTTCCAAATGCTACTGTGAGATGTTGTCTTCCACTTGTTCTGGACAAAATGCATCATAAAATTTCTTTTTTAAGTCAAATGGAGCAATCACAAATTAAGAACTTGCTTGTCAATTTGTCCCAGTCCTCCTCGACTGACATATATCGGCAACATCTTGGCAACTTGAAAGCCGCTTGTCCTGATGAAGTTTTTCAGTACTATTATGACACTTGGCATCCATGTTGGAAGTTATGGTGTGAAAAGGATAATAGAACCTCTGATGTGGAGAACTCAATTTTTGCTTATGTAAAAACAAAACATCAATACGTGAAAGGACAAGTGGGGTCATTAGTTTCCTTACATCAGTGTTTACAAGCCATTCTTACAGAGGATCAGGAATTTGTAGAATTTTCCGAATCAAACCATGTTGAGATGTCGGACGCAAGTTCATTTCCATCATGGGGTCTACAAACCACCACATCTGTGGAGTTTCAAGAACAAGAGCTGGTTCCTGATGAAATTACTCCTGGTGCCATTCAGAAGGTAACCATGATTTTTCTTTACGTTTCCAAATATTAATTGCTTGATATATACAACATTTTGAATAATGATTTATTATTAAAAAATTTGAGGTTCTCATAGTCATCCCAGATGTCGCCTGATTCCCATTGTGCCAGAACCCAGGCTTTTGGGAGTGGTAGTTGTTTTTTTCTAGGGAATCTGCTATTGCTTTTGTGGGTAAACTAGATGCAGAAACCTGGAAGTTGGGTACATGCTAGAGCATACAATTTGCAGAAACTACTGTCCGTGTTGGATGTGGTTAACTGTTTAATCAGGCATGAACAAGTGGAGCACATAACATATTATAATAAATTGAATATGAACCACAAATTATAATTAATTGAATAGTGGAAAATACAAATGGTTATGTTTTTCACTGTACATTATACCATGAAAGAACATATGCTTTTTCACTGTAAGAGGTCACTATTCCCTTTTTAACCCCTTACGGACACATGACATGTGTGACATGTCATGATTCCCTTTTATTCCAGAAGTTTGGTCCTTAAGGGGTTAAAGGGATACTCTAATCAACAAAACAACTTTATTGTAATGAAACATTTTACATGTGTGTGTATGTATGTATATATATATATGTATATATATGTGTGTGTGTGTGTGTGTGTGTGTGTGTGTGTAAAAACAACTTTATTGTAATGAAACATTTTACGTGTGTGTGTGTGTGTAACGGCTCAATTATCTGCCATTTAGGAGGTAAAGAAACACTCCAGACATACAAAGCACTTTAAAATAGTATGAAGTGTAAGGTTTCTAGAGCTTGTTAGAAGTTCAGGTAGGCAGCTTGGACAACCAAAACCAGATTTTCTCCTTACTGTGTAAAGAAAAGGGAATGGAAGCAGCGCCTTCTAGTTCAGAGTGGGCCAATATGTAAAAAAATAATTACTAAAAAAAGACAGTTTGCGAAATATTGTGTAGTAAGTTTGTAATATTTCTGAGCTAAATAAAAAGCTGCACTTACAATTTTATGGGGCTGTTAATTGGCTCCAATTTAAGGCACCTGGGTGGTACAGTTCCCATCTATGGATTTAGTCGGTATGTTGATCCCATGGGGAGGAATCCTGTCTCTCAGTGATAAGCATGTTGTGAAGCAATCCACACCTTTGGGTACACAGGAGTTCCCACTCCTTGATATAAGTAGCAGCATATTCTCACTGAATGGTATATGGATAAAACAGAAATACAAATATACAGGACTCACTGTTTAAAATTATTTAAAGTAATAAAATGAGATGTACTCAATGGTGTAGAGCAAAACAGGTTTTGCTCAATCTGTATAGCATGGCTGGTATATTACCCAAGAAGGAAATTGATGTAGCAATCTTGAGGATAAAATCAGGAAGGTCCAATGTATGCAGAATCACTAATTTTATTGAAAATTAAGTATAAAAGCATAAAAAAAGTAACAAACTGACATGTTTCACCTAATTAACAGGTGTACAGGTTTGAAGACCTTCACTGACTCTATAGTTTTAAAAGCATAAAAACACTATTTAGGTTAAGATGTAGTTGTTCTGGTGACTATAAAATCCTTTAAAATAAAGGAGTACACAATCCAAAAATAATTGTCACATGACCATAAATAAAAGAATTGTAAGTGCAATTGTTCTATTTATATCACCAATATTACTACACTATATTTCGTAACCTGTCTGATTTTTTTTTTAGTTTTTTTTTTTTTATTATAATAACATATTGGCCCACTGACCTGGACTGGAGGACACTCTTAAGATGCTACCCCCCGCCCCCTCCCCCTTTTCTTTACAGAATAAAACACTTTAGCTTGCTTTAGTGCTTTATGTCTCTAGAGTCTGTCAGTTTTATGACATGGTATGATCCGTGACCAAGAAATCTGTGGTACTACAAGGTTGAAACTGCAAACCATGGATGGTTTCTGGTCAATGATCCTTTTGGATCATAGCCCATGTTTAGATTTTAAAAAGTGCCCTGTTTATAGCAATGGTACAGCATTAAATTAAGTCATTTTCTAAAACATGGGCCATGTGGGACAAGTACATAAATTCAAAGGTGAGATAGTCTGAACTTGGAACTGGTCTTGCGCTTGGCCGGGTAGTGTATGATTTTTAGTTATTTATTTTCCTTTTTGTGCTTCTCTTGTTTTCTGTTTATAGTAAATGTACGTGAATTGTATGCAATAACCAGAAGTTGGCCAAAGGAATCCATGAGCTATTGATGCTATTTTTGTACCCTTGTTTTTCTATGGAAACTTGTTGGGTATAATATTTGCTGCCTTATTCTGCTATTGTATAATTTAATGCTCACCCTATTGCAAAATTGTTTAACTGAAACTGCAGTGTTTTACATTGCAGTGTTAAGGGGACAGGGACACTGCACCCAGACTACTTCAATGAGATGTCATGATCTTGAGCAGGTCAGATAGGAGACTTTGGCCAGGGTTGTTATTTGAGACTTTTATTGGTGCTTTTAGACATACTTGAGAAAAAAAGGCAATATGCCACAAAACAGGATACTTGCAAATAATAAAGAAAGTCTGTGATCTCCAGGTAGGGTTGAAACAGTGGCAGGCTGTTTACAGAGGTAGGCTGGTATCAGAGGCAGGCTGGTGACAGAGGAAGGCTGGTAACAGAGGCAGAGGTCAAAATCATACGTAAAAGTGGAGCAGGTTTGAAGGTAAGTCTGGAGCAGGAACTGAAGTGATTCAGGTAAATCACCAACTTAAATTTAAAGGCCCTGTTAGTTGGGTGTAGCCTTTTGTAGATGAAGCAAGTACTTAAACATGAACAGGTGAGATTCCAGAACTAGAGGCAAGGGAGGCCACTAGTGGTAAATAATAAAATCAGAGAAGGAACTTGTTTTAAAGGAACATAAATCTTGTTTGTCAGGATATGATCCTGACAGATGAAGTGGTCTGGTTGCCTATAATGTCAACGTTTCAGTTTCTAAACATAACGTTTATCAGGGAAAAACACAGTTACAAAAAAACACGTGCGTATACATATAGCAAGAAAAGAGTGCTAACCTCCTGGTGTTTGGCATGCATGGCAAAAATTGGCGCGTGGCCAAGGTTGAGAACCCAGGCATGCATTCTAACTTGTTGTGATAACTTGTTGTGCTAGCAACAGTTAAGCCGTTTTTTGCAGGTAAAATGCACCGTGGCTCATGTCAATGAACCAGTACATCGCAGTTGCAATGAGCAAAGCATACTGGCTATTGACTAAATATACAAGCTATCATGCTTATTGAACCAGCATTAGCATTGAAATTCCCAGATAATGCCGACAAGTGTAAGTTACCAAAGTGAACATGCAATGCATCAAGCAGTGATATACTGGCAAAGATAAACAGGCTACTTTGTTAATCGAGACTTTAATAGCATGCATAGTGAAGGCAGTGGATCCTCGTAATAAGTGCGATAAATGTAAACTGCTTAGGTAGAAGCCATAGGGATTATTGACACATGTTCATGCACTGATTATTGACAGTAAAGTGAAGTGAAAATACATATATGCTGTCCTTGTGCAGGAACTTTTTGTCCAGGTAACCAGATATTACGAGTGGTATATGACAAAGTGCTAATGGCCTGTGAAGTCCCTGCACATTAATATAGTGTTGTGGAAAAAAGACAGGGTCGTGCTGGGCCCTAAGACAATTATGGTAGTTGGTGCCATTTATTTCTAATAGAAGTTATCCAGGAACCTACAAAGGACAGCATCTCCATAACAAGGAAATAGCTGGGGGCACGTGCACGGCACATTGTTCCATGTGAAGGAACCAAACCTTCTCCTGCCTGTACATGATAGATGCTATCCCTTCTTTAGTGAGGGACAATAAAATTGCTCTGAATAAAGGTATATGGGAACCTACTGAGGGCAGGGTACCATATAACATTACAATGAAATACCAAGGGCACACACCACACATTATGCAATGTAAAGGAAACAAAATCTTTTCGAGACTTCACATGCTGAGGGTGCCTACTTAGAAAGAAACATGAAATTGCTTAAAACCTATAATGTATTGAATGTGAAAATAATGATTGAAGGGTGCCTAGGGTGAACGTATGATTACATATACTGCCATATACTGCCCTTAAAACTCCATCTAAGTAGTATAAAGAAATATACAGTATGGAAGATTTATCACAATGGCAAATGGTGAAACATATCCACGTGTGTATTTTTGAGGACAAACAGATGGCATCAAATATGTAAAACAATTTACAGTGCTTGAAAAGCATCAATGGAATTAAAAAAAGACGAAGAGTATGTTTGTTTTTATAACTCCTGGGAGAACTGTTTCCAATGTTCTTATCTAAATCGATTCTCTTGGTAATTACAGACTGCTGTGAATTTTAAAATGGGTAGGATTTTTTGTCTCTCCAAGAAATGCTTTTTTTACAACCAGTAAATCACATTTGCTGTCTATGTAGTCTGTTCTAATCCTGGATTTGTGATTCTGCTATTCTCTCGCTGATGGGGTATACCTGTGTTTCCAATTTATGCCAGCCCACACAGACACACCAGTTTGTATACTGCAAAGTCTTTCTTTTGCCTTTGACTTAATATCCTTTCTTCCAGTCTAAATGCGTGGCTTTGTATCCTAGGATAGACTTGTTTTATGAATAGACTCCAGACAATAGTTTGTTGGTTTATATTTGCCCCAACTATATTTGATCCCCTCTAAGGTGCCATATTTCTAAACTAAACTGAATGTGTTTAAATGTGTTAACCTTTCTTCTTAATTAACCCCTTAAGGACCGAGGACGGTTCAGGACCGTCATCGGCATTTTTGCCTTGAGGACCGATGACGGTCCTGAACCGTCCAAACGGTCTGGGGGTACTTACCTGATCGCCGTCGTTCCCCCGGCGGCGATCAGTGTTCCTCCGGTTGTGGGGAGACTGCCTGCAGCCCAGACAGTCTCCCCACGGCAGATTAGGACCCCTGTGGCCATGTGATCGCTTAACACAGCGATCACATGGTCACAATAGGTGTCCATGTGTTTGCCTGCAGGGGGACTGTCTGTGCTGACAGGCAGTCTCCCTGCTAGTGTAAAATAAAAAAATAAAATAAAGTTAATGTTAATAAAAAAAAATAATAATAATTATATAGGTGTATATATGATATATAGACATATATTATATTTATATAATATATGTCTATATATCATATATATAATGCCATACTAAGTGTATTTTTATATTAATATGTACTTATATTAATATAAAAATACACTTATAATTGAATTACACACGTATGTATATAATATATATAATAACTATATATATATTATTATAAAATATAAATAATAAGTAATTTAAATTAAATAAAAATTTTTTTAAATAATAAAAAAATTAAAAAAAAATTATATAGCTATATGAAATTTTATTCTAACTGTATTTTAAAATTAATATATATATATTTATATCAAAATACACTTAGAATGAATTTGCATATATATCTATGTATATAAAAATAAATAAAAATAATAAGAAATATACATACGTCCATATACAAAATTACATAAATAATTATATAAATATACACGTAGACTTCAAATATATAAATATGCATATATATTTAAATTCTACGTGCGTATTTATGTAATATTTTTACATAATTCAGTAATTTTATTGATTGCAATTTGAGGGACCTGCCTGCCAACCCAGGCCGAAATTCCAGAGAATTTAATTTGCTAGCACTGTATTTTACCCTGTAACGTTCTACGACACCCTAAAACCTGTACATGGGGGGTACTGTTTTACTCGGGAGACTTCGCTGAACACAAATATTAGTGATTCAAAACAGTAAAACATATCACAGTGATGATATTGTCAGTGAAAGTTACTTTTTTTGCATTTTTCACACACAAACAGCACTTTTACTGATGATATAATTGTTGTGATACGTTTTCCAGTTTTTAAACACTAATATTTGTGTTCAGCGATGTCTCCCGAGTAAAACAGTACCCCCCATGTACAGGTTTTATAGCATTTTTGAAAGTTACAAGGTCAAATATATGGGTCAAATATTTTTACATTGAAAATGGCCAGGTTGGTTACGTTGCCTTTGAGAGCGTATGGTAGCCCAGGAATGAGAATTACCCCCATGATGGCATACCATTTGCAAAAGAAGACAACCCAAGGTATTGCAAATGGGGTATGTCCAGTCTTTTTTAGTAACCACTTGGTCACAAACACTGGCCAAAATTAGCGTTCAATTTAGTTTTTTTACTTTTTTCACACACAAACAAATATGAATGCTTACTTTGGCCAGTGTTTTCGACTAAGTGGCTACTAAAAAAGACTGGACATACCCCATATTGAATACCCTGGGTTGTCTACTTTAAAAAAAATATGTACATGTGGGGTGTTATTCAGAGATTTATGACAGATAATAGTGTTACAATGTCACTATTGATAAATTTTAAAAATGTATGTTTTGAAACCACAATATCCTACTTGTACCTATAGCCCTATAACATGCAAAAAAAAGCAAAAAAGCACGTAAACACTAGGTATTTTTAAACTCAGGACAAAATTTTGAATCTATTTAGCAGTTTTTTTCATTCGCTTTTGTAGATGAGTAAAAGATTTTTCAAGTAAAAGTCAAAAAACATGTATTTTTTTCAATTTTTCATCAGATTTTTGTATTTTTTTTAAATTAAAATACATGAGATTATATAAATAATGGTATGTAAAGAAAGCCCCTTTTGTCCTGAAAAAAACAATATATAATTTGTATGGGAACAGTAAATGAGAAAGCGGAAAATTACAGCCAAACACAAACACCACAAAAGTGTAAAAATATGCCTGGTCGCAAATGTACAACATCGCAAAAACAGTCCAGTCCTTAAGGGGTTAAATATTCCTTTCCTTTTAGTAATTTTGTATCCTGCCTCTGCATTCTTTCTAGTGCCATAAAATCCTTTTTAGAATCCATTGCACAGCATTTTCTTTCCATTGATTTTTGAATTTTGTTATTTTTCACCTTTTGCTATTGTGGTACATATTTCATACTGTATATTTCCTTTATACTACTTTATAGAGCTTTCTGGGTTATTTACAAAAGTGATAATTTCAAAGTGAATTTCAAATTTTAGTCCAGGGAAGGCAGGCTAGAAGTATAGCAGACATGGATTTTTTTTTTTTCCAGTTCTTTTGACTTTAAAGAGACACTATAGTCACCAGAACAACTACAGCTTATTGTATTCGTTCTTGTGTGTACAATCAGTCCCTGCAGGCTTTTTGCAGTAAACATTGTTTGTTTGTTTTTTTAGAGAAAAGGCAGTGTTTAAATTACAGCCTAGAGATACCTCCAGTAGCCACTCCTCAGATGGCTACTAGAGGCGATTCCTGGGACTGTGCTGCACAGTGCGCAGCACTGACATTCAGTGTTTCTACCCTCTGCATGGAGACACTGAAGTTTCCTTATAGAGCTGCAAGGATTCAATGCATCTCTATGAGGAGATGCCGATTGGCCAAGGCTATGTTTGACTTTTGCTGGCTCTGTCCACAGATGGTGGTTTTAACACTATAGGGTCAGAAATACATGTTTGTGTTCCTGACTTTATAATGTTCCTTTAAATTTAAAAATTACCTTGAACGCTCACCTTAGTGAATAACCCTGTATGTGCAATCCTAATTCCATCCCATGGAACCCTTCTGTCATAATTATTTGTTTCCCATTAAATACATTATCTGTTTGAAGCAATTTCATGTTCCTTTCTAAGTCTGCACCCTCAGCCTGGGAAGTCAGGAAAATGTATTTACTTTACACTGTATAATGTGCCCTAGGTATACCTCTTGTGTTATAAAGTTACATGCTTAGTGCAATTTTATTGTCCCTCACTGAAGTAAGCATTCCTAGCATGTATAGACAGCTAGGAGGATTTGGTTCCTTCACATGACACAATGTGGCATGTGCTCCCAGCTGTTTACCTTGTAATGTCATAAAGAGGTTTTTCCCTCCGTGGATACTTTTGCCTCTGACCCATGTTTTTATTTTTTATTTTTATTTTTTCCATTAAAAACAAATGGTAAAAACTATTAAAGGAACAATATAGGGTCAGGAACACAAACGTGTATTCCTGGCCCTATAGTGTTAAAAATACAATTTAGCCCTGTTGCCCCATTTAAACACAGTAAAAACTCCCCTTTATATCAGCAATGAGCATATCTGCCAGGTGCTGGTTCCACCCCCACCCCATTATGTCTTGCCTATTTGGCTGACATAATCAGAACTGACAATATCAGTCAATACAATGCTTTTCCATAGGAAAATTATCTAAGATCATCGATTCTGATGTTCTCCGCCAAGGAGGCAGGGCGGGGTGCAGAACCAAATGCCATCCTGGCCAATCGGCATCTCCTCATAGAGATGCATTGAATCATTGCATTGCAGTGTGGAAATTTCAGCGCTTCCATGCAGCACTGACCTAAGAAGATACCTCTAGTGGCTAAGAGGTGCAGTGTTTACAGCAAAATGCATGCAGGGAATGACAATACTCACCAGAACAACTACATTAAGCTGTAGTTGTTCTGGTGACTATAATGTCCCTTAAATGGTCTTTAAGCCCAGCAAAGGCCTGTTGATTTTTGTTTGTTTGTTTTTTCTTCCCAAAACACTATACTCGTGTGCAGGAACTTCACAGGCCATTAGCACTTTGTCATATACCACTCGCTCGTGATATCTGGTTACTGGGGCAGCAAGTTCCTGCATGTATGTGTATTCACTTTATTGTTTAGTAAGTGAATTAAGGAGTCCTTTAATAACCCTATGGTTCTTAAGCAGTTTACATTTATCACATTAACATGAGGATCTCCTGCCTATGTTTTTACAGTTCCTGTTAACATTAAAGGACCACTCTAGGCACCCAGACCACTTCAGCTTAACGAAGTGGTCTGGGTGCCAGGTCCAGCTAGGGTTAACCCATTTTTGTATAAACATAGCAGTTTCAGAGAAACTGCAATGTTTATAAATGGGTTAAGCCTTCCTCCAAAGCCTCCAGCTGCTGTCTCATTGACAGCCGCTAGAGGCGCTTGCGTGCTTCTCACTGTGAAAATCACAGTGAGAGCACGCAAGCGTCCATAGAAAAGCATTGTAAATGCTTTCCTATGCGACCGGATGAATGCGCGCGCAGCTCTTGCCGCACGTGCACATTCAGCCGAATGGGCGGAGAGGAGGAGGATCGGAAGAAGAGAACTCATCGCCCAGCGCTGGAAAAAGGTAAGTTTTTACCCCTTTCCAGAGCCGGGTGGCAGGGGGTCCCTGAGGGTGGGGGCACCCTCAGGGCACTATAGTGCCAGGAAAACGAGTATGTTTTCCTGGCACTATAGTGGTCCTTTAACTCAAATGCCTGTTTAAGTTTGCCAGTATATGACTATTTGCTTCATTGTTTGTTCACTTTGGTAGCTTGATTGCACTATTTTTTTTTTGAGAAACTCATAGCTCATGTTGGTTCAATAAGTTAAATTTAGTCAGTAGCCTACATGCCTTTCTCGTCGTAGCTGCGATGTCCTTTTTATGTTTTTATTTTTTAAACAGGTTTATTGCCATGAACCATGATTGCGTCTTACTTGCAAACCAACTTAACTGTTGCTATGACAACAAGTTTGAACACATGCCGCTATGAGGGATGGCTTACTGAAGCGGAAACATGGCTGTGTTCTAAGGCTTGGCTGTGCACCAATATTCAGTGTGCACACCAAACACCAGGTTGTGAGTACTTTTTTCTTGTTATGGGTGTTCTTTTTGTAACTCTGCTTTACCTTGATAAAAGTTTGTTTAGAAACTGAAACATTGACATTTTTAAGGCAGACTTTAATAGTTATTATGAAGTCCTACACTGCTATCCTTTTGTTATCGTATCTATATATTGCAATTAAAATAAAATAAATAACATCTTACATAGGTTAAAATGTCTTGTTTTCTTTTTGTTTTCTTTTTTTTGTGTGTGTTTGCATCTTCAGGATTGTGAAAATATTTTACGCGAGAAGTTGGATGGGAAAGAATTTCAGAGTTGGGATGATTTCTGTTGTTTCTTGGAAACCTGTAGTAAAGATAAATTCCAGCTACGTGTGTCCTCATCATTTACCGAAGAGAGCAAAGGAGAAATATTTCCAATTTCAGACATGGCTTTGTCATTAAAATACAGCTGGGCTCAGCTTTCCTGCAGTTGGTGAGTTTAACCTGTCCAGGGACTATAATGTCTGGAATTGTTGAGGGGTTTTTATTTTGTTTTTAGTTGCACATGCACAATCAACTTTCTGTGATTCCTAGGGATAGGACACTAGCTAGATCAATGTCCTCCCTAAGTGGGAGTGGAAAATTTAAGTAACAAAAAGCATTTGCTTTTGAACAAGACCTTTATCTAAAAAATAAAATACACGTCACTTTTTAAGCCCACAACAGAAAAAGGTACTCTAATCAAAAACCAGTGTTTTTATAAAAAGAGCTGGATCGTATATTTCTACTTACCGTATTTCTTGGAATACATTTGATTATCACACATTAACTGTCCTAACTAAAACCAAGCTTTTTTTTTTTTTCCCCAGTAATGAAACCGCATCTATATTCACGTGTGTATGTGTGTATTTGTGACTTGTGTGACCTATATATTTTTTTTGTTTGCCTTAGGAATGGCTGCTCGGCTTTTGTTGAACTTGCGCTGAGCCCACAAAAAGATAAACTTATTATTACTCAAAGCAATCTGCAGCATACGCACAATGATGAAGAAACCACTCTCAGTCCTCCTGCAAAAAAATGTAAAGTCTCCGCTACAGTAGGTGTGCCAGTGCAAGTTGCAAACAACATATCCAGAAAATTTCTGGAACCAAGTGATCTAAAACGACTTCTTCGCTTTCGATCTGGAGCATTTGAGGATCGTACGCAAGTGCTTGGAGAATTGGACTCCCTCTTCGTTTCTGACCCTAATGCAAAAGTTAAGCTTGTGTTTGTGGAAGACAAACTGCTTGTTAGCAAAATATTCATAATGACATCTTCAATGATAGAGCAGGCTCAAAAATCCCCTGATTACCTTTTTATTGATGTGTGTTTACAGTTTAGTCCGAGTTTTGATCTGTACACTCTTTATTGTGAAGAAAAGGGAGCAGGATGGAAAGTCTGTGCCTATTGCATTGCAAAGAAAGGCATAATGGATGTTTTTGAATTCCTTTCATGCTCAGTTGTTCAGGTTGTCCCCGCATTAATCAGCCAGGTGAAACATGTTACAGTACATCCTGAAATCGCTGAACCTCTCAACGTAGAAACTTATTTACCACATGCTTCCACAAGATATTGTATGCATTTAGTTTTAGATGTGCTGTATCAAAAAATTGCACACCTTGATACCACAGTAGTAGCTCAGATTAAGAACTTCCTTCATATCCTGTCTCAGACATGTTCTCATAAAGTATACAATGAATATTTGAATCATCTTAAAGTAGTTTGCCCACCTGAGATATTCCACTACTATTATGACATGTGGCATCCACTCAGAAAAATGTGGGCAAAAAAGGATAATAGGATTGAAGAAGCTGAAAAAAATATATTTGAACTGGTGTCAGTGAAACACGAGGCACTCAAAACTGAGCTGGGTGCTCTTCCCTCTTTGCACCAATGCCTGTGTGCAGTACTTGGTGAAAAACATAAAGTGTCAGCCATTAATGCTCTTCTTCAGGATTCAGATATTCCAGTATGCTGGGAAAATAGAGACTCTCCTGCTGTCTCTCCATCTTCAAATGACCAGGTAAGTTCAGAAGTGGCAATGGCTACGTGATGCATTTCTTAGAAGCGCAAAATGTTTTAATGTTTATGCAATGTTTATAGCTTTAAAAGGTGTGCTACACTGTATTCAATTGTTAAGTCAAAGTAGCAATTATGTTGATGGAATAAACATTATGTAAATGATTTTTGGGTTTATCATTCCTCGTATTACTTATATTTTAAATGTAACTTTTCTATGATTTCAACGTAGTAATCTAGATTGAAAATACTCTGGTCCAACAAGTTCAACCTTTCACACATCTTTTTTTGAAGTTTGAATTTGAAGGTATTTCTGTTTGTGCAACAAATGGGAAATAAAAATTGACTGTATTCCTTTCCTACTCCATTCCTTTTATTTTATTAAGGACTAAAATGATGATTTATTCACATCAATTAAAGGGACACTCTGAGCGCCATAACCACTTTCTACCTGGCACCGACTCACAGTTTAGTGTTTAAACAGTTTTCAAATGGTTTAGCACTGTATACTGCAGATGCCCACAGCCAGTACCTCACTGGAGGTATGGCTAAGATGTTCTATTCTGCCTCAGCCATACCATCTCTTACCAGTGATGGGTGGTCAACTGAAACTTGTAGCCCATTGCTGCTTGAGCACATGTAGAAGCATGTGGGAGCCCTGGGATCCTCATTTAGTGTTAAATTGTTTAACCCGAGAGCTGAAGTGCTCTAGGCCCCATAACCATTTTAATGACATGAAGTGGTTATAGTGCCAAATGAGTCCCTGTAATACACTTATTTATGCATGACTTCCATTGTTGTCTGTTCTGTTGCCTATAATTATTTTCACGTCCTTCTTATTTACAGTTGTCCCGAGGGCAGCCACCAAAGCTCCTGGGACTTCTGGCAAAATTATTTGTCATTCCTCCTCACCCCCCAACTTTCACACTCATACACACAGCCACACATATACACAAAGCTACACAATGACACACACATACACACTACCATTAACAGAAATATAGATATGATCTACTTGCATTTTGGCATTTGATACAGTTCCACACAAAATGTTACTAGTAAAATTGAAATTCGTTGATTTACACGAAAAAACTGTGTTCTTGGATAGAACACTGGCATATAGATAGAATGCAGAGTAGTTATAAATGGAAAATTGTTAACTGCTACTCTTCAATTTAAGAACAACCCTTTTCATCTAAGGCTCTAAACCACTTGCTTTCAGTTTGCACATTTAGTATCAGTACAAAGTGTATTAAATAAAGTGGTGAACCGTGCCAAAAGTGCTTAAAGTGAATGTAATAAAACATTTTTATATATACATATAGATCTTGATAATGTAACAGGATATAGCCCTCAAAGGAGACAAAAGTATAATAGTGCAATATGCTATAAACAATATACACGTATGTGTTTAAAATATCGAATAAACAACCAGATAAAAGATTCTCACAATTTGCAGAGCTCTTGAGAGCTCTTCTGTATATCGCCTGGACTGTATAATCCCCGTCTTAGGATATGTGGATATTGGCTGTATGGAATCTCCAAACTCAGCAACCATGTATATAAAAAGAAAAACAAAATACGAAATCCAATAGTATAGTATGTCAGACAAAATTGGAAATGTAAGAAGTAGATGTCCTACTTACGATTTCCATAGCAATGACTTGCTCCGGTGTTGATAGCTTGTGGTGGTATGATCCCCACCAAAGGATATAAGGAATTAGCAGGAATCCAGCAGCACCAGGGAGAAAAAAAGATATAAAACCAAAAGAGGGGTTTGGAAAAAAGGCTATGACTTTATTAAAGGACCACTATAGGCACCCAGACCACTTCAGCTCAATGAAGTGGTCTGGGTGCCAGGTCCATCTAGGGTTAACCCTGCAGCTGTAAACATAGCAGTTTCAGAGAATATAGTTTGGAGAAATATAGTTTTGTATTCCTAACACTATAGTTTTTCTGTAAGTGCAAAGTCAGCCCAGTGCTTTATAAACACAAAAAATACATTACAATCAATATTAGTTTTAGATAAAGAGATATTTAACAGAGCTACTTTGTTTGCCTCCCTATTACCAGGACCCATTCTTTAGGAATCTTCATCTTTCAATGGTTTTGTTATTCATTCCAAAATGAAACATGAATGCTAGGTCATCTTCAACTCATCCCAACATGTTGAAATTGAGCATCTGTTAGACAACAAACTGTTAGAGGGGTATATTACCTTGTCTGTTCTCTTATCCTGCTGTAAAAATTACAGGCTTTTGCGAGGCTTACACTGTTTTAGCCAATGTCATTATAATTCTGGGTAATAATTGCCAGAAGATGAGGCTCAAAATACACCTTATTTACTGAAGTAAATTTCAAATTTAAGGACAAAACAGTTGGACAAATTGAGCTATGCTTTCAACTCTGCAACTGTGGCATTAAAGGAGCACTATAGGGTCAGGAACACAAACGTGTATTCCTGACCCTGTGGGGTTAAAACCACCATCTAGCCCCCCTCATACCTCCCTAAATCTAGTAAAATCTTACTTGTATTCAAGACTGGAGCTGCTTGCTTTGTTACTGTTTCCTTTGACCTGCCCACTGCCTGCTGACATCATCAGAAGTGGTAGCCTGATCCAATCACAATGTTTCCCCATAGGATTGGCTGAGACTGACAAAGAGGCAGATCAGGGGCAGAGCCAGCACATTTCAAATACAGCCCTGGCCAATCAGCATCTCCTCTTAGAGGATGAATTGAATCAATGAATCTCTATGAGGAAAGTTCAGTGTCTGCATGTAGAGGGTGGAGATACTAAATGTTTGGATGCATTTTAGGCAGCCATGACCCAGAAAGGATCTCTAACAGCCATCTAAGGAGTGGCCAGTGAAGTTATTACTAGGCTGTAATGTAAACTCTATATTTTCTCTGAAAAGGCAGTGCTTACAGCAAAAAGCCTGAAGGTAATGATTCTACTCACCAGAACAAATTCAATAAGCTGTAGTTGTTCTGGTGAATATAGTGAACCTTTAAGTTGAAATTTCCTTTGAATTCTCACTTTAGTAATTAATCTTGACCGTGTAAGACAGCCCAGGGTATATATAGTGCAAGTGTTATTTCTTTAATTGGTTTATATACCGGTAATTGGTTTAAATAACGAACCCACCATATGGCTGAAAATAATAATTTGAGAGGTTAAGCTACTGAGCTTTCTCAGATGAGTCTCATATCCAACAAATCAATCTGTCAAAATCTAAAAATTTGAATTGCTAGGTATATAACTTGTCACTGACCGAAAATCTGTCAACATCATGCAATCCTGGCAAAGGAATACATGAGTTATTGTATGTAGGAGTAGTAGCTGAGCCTAGTATGGCGTATTTAATACAGAAGCATACATCGGGCTTATAAAATACATAAAGATGAAGTGTGATGAGTTTGTGAGATTAATTGAAAACATTTAAGATTGTAACCAATACCTGCTAGGGATAGTAGTAAATTGGCCAAATGATAACTGTCAAAATTCACCTAGGTAAGTGTTTGAAAAAAATCTTACTTTTTTGTGTTGCAGTTTTTCATTTCTGTGATTACCGTATGTACTCGAGTATAAGCCGACCCGAATATAAGCTGAGGCCCCTAATTTTACCACAAAAAAACTGGGAAAACTTATTGACTCGAGTATAAGCCTAGGGTGGGAAATGCAGCAGCTACTGGTAAATTTCTAAATTAAATTAGATCCCAATAAAATTACATTAATTGAATATTTATTTACAGTGTGTGTATATAATGAATGCAGAGTGTGTTTGTTTGTGTGTGTATATAATGAATGCAGAGTGTGTGTTTGTGTGCGTGTATATAATGCAGTGTGTGTGTTTGTGCAGTGTGTGTAAACTGGATGAGGGGAGGGCATTTTATTTTAATTTTTTAATTTTATTATATTATTTTAATATTATTATTATTATTTTTTTTAATATTTGCATATTTTTTTTTAAATTGTTTTTTTTTGTCCCCCCTCCCTGCTTGTTGCCTGGTCAGGGAGGGGGGACAAAAACATTTTTTTTTAAAAATAATGCAAATATTAAAATAATATAATATTCAAATAATATTATTTTATCATTATATTATTTTTTTAATATTTGCATTATTTTATTTTTTTTTATGTTTTTTGTCCCCCCTCCCTGGCCAGGCAACAAGCAGGGAGGGGGGACAAAAAAAATAATGCAAATATTAAAATAATAATAATAATATAATTTTAATAATATTTTATTATTATTAAAATATAATAATATTGAATCCCTGGTGGTCCAGTGGCATTGGCAGTTCAGTGGGGGGGGCTGACAGCGAGGTGTTACTTACCTTCCTGCAGCTCCTGTCAGCTCCCTCCTCCTCCGTGCAGCTCCCCGGTCAGCTCTGTTCTAATTACAGTGCAAGTCTTGCGAGACCCGTGGAATCTCGCGAGACTTACACTGGGAGCAGAACGGAGCTGACCGAGGAGCTGCACGGAGGAGGAGGGAGCTGACAGGAGCTGCAGGAAGGTAAGTAACAGCTCACTACAAGCCCGGCGGTCCTGGTCTGTATTATGGCAATGTAAGTTGCCATAATACAGACTCACTCGAGTATAAGCCGAGTTGGGGTTTTTCAGCACAAAAATTGTGCCAAAAAACTCGGCTTATACTCGAGTATATACGGTACATTTAAATGAACCGTTCAAGCAGCATCTTCACAATAGCCTGCTATAATGTTATGGTGTCAGGCAGGGGGAGCAGATAAATGTGAGTGATACCCAAACCTGTCCCTCGTAGGTGCCTCCTACTTCCTCTGGCGGGTCTTCTTCAGCTGAAGCGCCAGAAACCAATGTCTTGCGTAGTGCAATAGATCATGAAGTCAATGGAGTAACTGCCGGATTCTCCATAGACCGATCCAATTCCCTGCAGCCATCATTTATGACAACTGGGGAGGTGGGGGGATTCAGCTTTCTAGATGGCTGTAGCTCAGACCAGTGTCTACAAATGTCAGGTGTAGGATATAATATAAAGAGTCAAAGTAATCTCCTTTCACTGAAGTGACTGATTGCTAGGTTCTACTATAAGAGAGAGGAACTGTTACTGTGGTGCTAGCTGGGGAACATTCTTGCTGGTGAATCGTAAATTAAAAACTTGTCACTTTATGCAAATACCCCCATTTAAAAAATCTAAACATAAAACTGCAAACAGTAAAGCTAGTCCTCTGATGCCTTGCAGACAGGAGAAGCTACAAACCCTATCCATATAGTAACTTACAAAAAAAAAAAAAACGTCAAGGCACACAGGATTTTTGTAGACTTTAGTTAGAGCTAAATGTTTCAGCTCTCTATCTAATAGGGTTCTAATAGAGACAACACGTTGCCATTAAACTCTGAATAGTCTGCAATTCTGGACACTTACTTTTTTTGTATCTGGATAGTTCAGGAAAAAAAGGCTGGAAAGTAGATCCTGTATATACCATACCTAAGTGGGCAGTGCTAACCCTTTAGTAACTGATGGCATGGAGTGACTTGTCCTGTCAAACCAAATAATTTTAATTTGAAAGATTTAGGTTCTTGCCTTGAACCCTGGACATTGTTTCTCTACCTCTGCTCCCCCCTTGTTTTTTCTCTCTGTTCTCCCTTGTAGTGCGATGTGTGTGTGCTGCCTGGATGTAGTATGCAAATAGTTGTACACACTTGCTGTGTGTTGTGTACTTGATGACTGTTGTAAGTGTACTGTATGTTGTATTTGTGCGTGTGTTCTTTGCTGACTGTATGTAGCCAGTGTGCGATTTATATGTAGTAAGTGTGCGTATGTTGTATGCTGGTTGTGTGTAGGTGGGATGTGTGAAGTGTGTGTGTATATAATGTGATCTATGTTTTGTCTCCCTCCTGCTTATATAATCCCTAGTGGTCAATGTTGATTAATTCTCTGCCTGCTGGACCACAGGGGGGAAAGGGAGTCAACTCTGCCTCGTGGTTCAGCTGGCAAACTTGTTTTTTGCACCTCTGTTGTTTTAAAGACATCTGTAATTTCTACCTCGTGGTCTGGCACTTAGGTAGTAATGTGCAGTCTTCTGGAATACTGGAGGCTGCGCTCTGAGTCAGCGAGTGGCGGACCGATGGCGGCGCAAACCTTTTATTTCCACAGCTCAACCCATTCCTCATGGTAACAACTCTGCTACGTGTCTGCTGCAGGGCTAAAGGTTAAAGCAAACTTCCTGTTGTGCCCTGAACTGCATATCCCAGGTGTTAAGCCATACAAATTAAATATCCCTGCATAAATAACTCCATTTTAGTGTTCCTCTTAGCTCACTGGTAGTTGGCTTTTCTGTGTTTGTAGCATAAACTGGCTCGGAACAGGCAACAGAAGTTACAATCTTACAATCTTCTCCTTGCAAGCTGAGTGCCTCTAAGCTATCTCTCCCCTTACTCCATGTGGGCGCTCCCTGCGTCGCAGATGTTTTATTAATTCATTTTTTTAAAACCTACTTTCCTCTGCCTCCCATGCCGGCACGTAGTGCATGTACGTGTTCTGAGCTGGCAATTGATTCAATCACAGGCTTCTCTATGATTGTAGGAGGCACAGAAGTCAGCGCTGGGGATGTGTATTTGTTTTTTTTTTGTTTGTTTGTTTTTTGCTTTGATGGCAGTTGCAAAATGTTGTCTGAATTTGTAAAGGGAAGTTTAATATGAAGGATCTCAGACTGACAAGAGGCAAAACTTACGAGGCAAATTGTGGTGGGGAACTTTGCAGCTCTTATCATGTCACTCTTGTATAACAAATCTACTGGCCTGAATGAGTTATAAATTTGTGTGTGTGTATACATATACCAGCTCTAGGCCCCGTCAAGTGTTAGTGCTCCCTTCTGCCTATTACACTATATTACCATTACATATACAACTAGCCATTAACCATGCATAAACCATATATACATAAATACACACATGCATTCTAACACACAATTTCTTACATACATTGACATGCACAATGACACACAGTCCTATGCATAGACCTCATTCTCAATGATTTAAACCTCCCATTCCTCCTCCTGCAACTTTCCTCTGCTTACATAATGGGTAAAATCTGAGGCAGCATTATCACTGTATGTAATAGTGGTGCACCAGCTTCCACATCCCTGTATTAATGCACAGTATATAGTTATTCTTTTTTGCAATTTGAAAATAATGTAAGCATTTGAGATTGAATTTTAAGGTGTGCCTCACAGTGATGACTATTGTCTGATTTTGTAACTGTTTTGTCATATTTTCAATGTATTTAAGTCAGAGTATTTTGTTTAGCTACAGAATTATGAGCAACCAATGCTTGAAGTTGAAGGAAATGTCCACAGAGTGGAGTTCTCCGCACATTTAACAAATGAGGTAAGACGCTGCTAAATATGTATCAAAATTATTCAAGACTTACTTGTTGACTCTTAGACTAAATAATTTCTTTTAAAAGTTTAAGCCAACCAAAAAACAGTGTCATAAACCACTGGTTTTGGTTAGGGTAACCCTTTCTGGGGTCGTCCACCTCCACAATATTAAAATAAATAAATTAAACTTGCCTACCTTCCATCGCTGAGTCCAAGTGCTCCCTGCAGTCCGATCCTCGTTGCCCAAAGTCACCTTTCCTTTGTTTTCTTATTGTACATACACTGAAGTATTGCAAGTACTTTTCTTATTTACTCATGTTTCCTCATCTATGTACATATCAAAAGCAGATATTATTACTACTTATAAATTGCAAACAAATTCTGCAGTGTTGTAGACAAGACAGGTATTTGTAACAAAACAAGTTGGATGCACAGAAACAGAGGGTGTTGAGCTCAAACAAGCTTACATTCTAGAGGGAGTATGGGAAAAGTAGTTTGCTAGAGTAGTTTACAATGAAGGCTAATTTTTTTGGGATGACACAATTGCAGGAGAGGAATGAAAGTGGGTTACCAAGGTGTGTCGTGGGAAAGCTTTTAACTTTTTAATTTATGTGCTTTTGTAAAGAGGTGAATTTTCAAACATGTTTTGAAGGAACAGAGACTGGATAGAGTCTAATGGAGCAGGGAAGGGAAGGGAGTTCCAGAGGAACAGTGCAGTCCTAGATAGGTCTTGAAGGTGAACGTCAGAGGTGAGAATACAAACATGATAGACACAGGTCTACAGCAAAGCATAGAGGCCTTGATGGGACATGTGTGTATTAGTGACAGTAGGTAAGAGGAGTGTTGTGCAGAGATCTTTAAGAAAACTTCAGAATTTTAATTTGAGCCCTATATCTTACGGGAAGCCAGTGTAGAGACTGACAGATTGGAACGGCATGGGCAGGTGCGGGAAAACAGGAAGATGAGCATCACCGCCTAATTCATTATAGACTGTAAAGGGGCAAGTTGGGAACAGGTACGATCACTGAGAAGCAGATTGCAATAGTCAGGGTAAGCGAGGGCAGCACGCACCAGCCCCTTAGCTGCATCCTGTGTTAAATAGGGATATGCTTTTGTGATGGAAATATCAGGATTTTCCACTTGACTGGGCATGAGGGGTGATGGAAATGTCAAAGATTACATAGGTAGCAAGCCTGCCAGGTACAGCCATTGACTTGGAGTTAGAAAAAGAAATATCCAGGCACACCTGAATTTCTTCTAAAACAGTCTTTTTTTTAATTTGAAACAAGGAAGTGGAGGCAATGTTTCGGCTCCTCTCTGAGCATTTATCAAGTCTGGTGAGACTTAAATTTCTGTTACGATTTCTGATAAAACTCTCCTTTTATGCTGACAGAAACCATAAAGAGGGACTGATTACTTACAATTTACTAAACAAGTCTGGCATGGTTATGTGCTAATCACAGAATTTTGTCTAGTTTGTCCACTAAAAGTAACTTTTTATATAGGTAAAAGGCCTTTTCTGTTCTTCTTTGTTTTCAGATAAGAGTGTCTGCCTCTGAATATCCTCCTCAGGGAAAGGTGGATGGATCCAATCCATAGCCAGGCAAAAAGCTACAACACATTTTTCTGATGTTAAAAGGCTCTGTGAGTCTATGAAGACGTGCAGTATATATTTTTAAACAAGGCTGCAGTGGGGAAGCTTTACACCTTGCATAATTTGATTCTGAAATGTATCATGTATATACTGATTCAATTTAAAAACGCAATGTCTAGCTCTGTAAAAGACAAGTTGATGGAAATTAATCAAAGGAAGTACTTCTGTTGAAGGCAATATTACTACCTATACTCATACAATGATCTGAAACAGAGATTGCAGATCACTGTATGATAGAGGCAAAAAAACCAAAATGATTGTTCAAAGACCTCTTTTACAAAAGATAATATTTTATCATAGACTATCAGTAGATTTAAATAATTTAAACCGTAATAATAATAAATCGAACTTTCCTCTGAAGTACAGTTCCTGTTCAGAAATTATATGGATCGATGGGAAGAGGGGACAAGAATAAAGCCTTAACAGCAACCACATCAGGATTAAACCTAGTTACTGTTTCCATAGTTATATATTTTCAGTCTGGTGACTTGGTTGAAATCAGAAATTCTTCAAACAAGTTACAAAATTAATCTTTTGCTTTCCAGTGCTGTGATCTTTAAAGTGGCATTGTCACCAAAATTTGTCTATGCACCATCATTTTTGACTTTACAAACTGCCTATACCTCATGTTGATCATTTTTACATCTGTTCAGCCATTTCTTCAAAAACAAAAAACTAAATACGAATTCTAGCAAATCTTTACCTTGGGCATGTTGGACACTGTATCATCAGTTTTTCATTTTTCTGCACAGTGGAAAGCTGGGAAACAACCCAGCGGATTGCAGTTTGTGAATGGCTGTTATCACATACTCTCTACAGCCATTTTTTTTATTATTTAAATCAGTAGCTATTTCTGAAGGATTGAAAAAAAAAATGTGATGGAATTCCAGGAAGACCATCGCTACACTGAAAAACAGTCTTCAAGTGGTAATTACAGTTACATTGTTATAGCTTGTCATGATAAAAGAAATGTTGGGATTATTTTTGCAAACTGATTTATGATATAAAGAGAATTTAATTGACTATGTTCCAGTATTACTGTTTCATGACTTGTTGGCTTTTGTTTTATTTTGACCAAAGTGTTTTGAAAGCAGTTTGGCCTTTTATTAATTCCTCAAGGTCTTCTCCCTAGAATATATATATATATTTTTTTTTTGTATAAAAGGTAGCATCTCTTCATACCATGCTGTACAACAACTTGTCTCTGCACTACCCCACATCTGCTAGATCAGCTGGTTCATACTCCTCTTACTATAGTCTGATGGTCTCTTGTAGCAAAAGTGAAAAGGAAAGTCTAGGTTAAAAATGCATTTGAAGAAAGATAAAAGGAACACTCCAAACACAACAACCACTACAGTGTTGTGTACTTGTAGTAGTTATGGTGCCAAGAGTTCCTTGTGCCAGTGTTTTGATTTGACTTTTTACCTGACGTCGGCTGTGCATCATTTGGGACCGCCCCCGACCCGCCTCCTTGGCATACATAGGAAAGCATCGGATTGGCTGAAATTGTCAATTCAGATAATCTCAGCAAAGGAGGCAGGTGGAGGCAGAGCCAAATGCCACCCTGGCCAATCAACATCTCCTCATAAAGATGCATTCAATCAATGTATCTCTATGAGGAACGTTCAGAGTTTCCATGCAGGGCGTGGAGACACTGAATGCCGGCACTGCCCCAGAAAACACCTCTAGTAGCCATCTGAGGAGTGGCCACTGGAGGTGTCCCTTGGGAGAAATCTCTTTAAAGACACTGTTTACTGCAAAAAGCCTGCAGGGACTGACTATATTCAGCAGAACAAATACATTAAGCTGTAGTTCTGGTGACTACAGTGTCCTTTTGAATAGGAATTGCTTATTTAGCATGCTGTTGTATACTCCTGCTATATTTAGTTTTTTGGTAAACAAATTTCATTAATCCAAGTTAATTGAACTTGTGTTAATCATGTTTTCATAGCTAAAATGTTATCAAAAAAAAATAAAAAGTTCAGAAAATAGACCATAATCCCACTGTTCTTCTGCAAAGCTATCTATACACAATGAACACCTTTAATTTAAGGGAACACAATAGTGTTAGGAATGAAAACCTGTATTCCTAAAGTTATAGTGTCCCTAATCATATATAAGTCCCACCCTTTTACAAAAAAATTTTATAAAATAAAGTTTTACTCCCATTTTTACAGTGCCAAAGCCTTTTGTGTCCCTTTAAGTTTTCTCCAAATATAAGCGATTAACATAATAAACTGGAGAGAGTTCAAAATGTATTTCTACATAGATGGTGCATAACAAAATCAGTTCTGATAGAACTGTTACACTAACCTGAAAAGTTATTCTAAACATGAAATCTTCATCTGTTTGCATACATTAAAGATAACCAGCAAGAATGAGTTTTACGTTTACAAATCATATAAATTGAGTGAGTCTTACGGACTAGTGATTTAAATCTTGACTAAATCAACTTATTGTAAATCAAATCCACCATGCACATGAGGCTACTTTGCACAAGCTGGCCAACTAACAGGAAATGAGATAAAGACTTGTAAGGACATCAATTATTATTAACAAGATAAAAAATGAGAAGGCGGTAAGGGCTGCGCCCAGGACTAGTAACAGTAGTATACAGCAATAAATAGACCAAATGGTCTAGATAGTAGTACAACAACAAGTATGTCTATGCAAATAAAGAAAATGGTAGAGAATAAAAAGTCTCACTAAAATAACAGGATAAAATAGGGGTGTGATCCTCAGGAGTTGATCCGCCCAGTAGCGCTGGCTCTTCCCCCTTCTTGTGTTGTTCATGGTCTCTAATTCCCTCTAGCTAGCTGCTTTTTAACCTTTTTTTACTATGTCTATCTTTGATTTTAGGAATAATTACATTATTGATGTTGAAAAATGTCTTTGATACAGAGGTTATTAGCGCAATCCAAATTAATTACCCTAGTCGAAGCCAACAAGATCTGTTTACAAAACTAGAAAAGTCACTCTAAAAAAATATATTGATGAGCAAATTACACCCTGAAGCCTAAGATTACTTAAACTGCCCACCTCTGACCAAGACGATCTTGAATTTATGGAGGAATGGAATAATAAATTAGAATTATGTACCCTTGGCCTAATGGAAACGTTAATAGTTAAAAAAAAGCGTAAAAAACTATAAATTTTGGACTCAGAAATCAATTACCTCAGGGAAAACCTACTACTACCCTTCACTGAGACCAAGGCATATAAACAAAACTATATATTGATCCTTCTCATTTTTTATCTTGTTTTATTACGGGTCTTGAGGGATTCCCTTTTTTTGGGTTGCTGTCCCTCAGTTTGTTATCTAGCGCTGACTCTTCCTCCTTCTTGTGTTGTTAATTATTATTAACAACTTACTTATACAGGAGACAAAAGTAGATATGCACACACTAAATGGAGAAATAAATGGGTTGGGCTTTCAGTGAAGTAAATGAAAAGGGAATATATGACTATTAGTTATATGTGAAACTAACTTTCCTGGTACAGTAACCACTAGAGTGGATTGTAGTGGTTATAGTGTTTGGAGTGTTCCTTTAAACACAGTCAATCCATGACCCTGTATGACTTGGGCACTTTTTATCCTGCATTCAAAAAGAATCAGAATACAAAAAAAATCCCCATTTACTTCTATAATTCCTATATGGGATTTATAACTTGGTCCAAAATTAGCTTTTTAGTAACAATTACATCTATTCAATTACCCACTTGCAAGCCATCAAAATTGCTGCACAGTAATGCTCTTTTGGAACATCTACATGCAGGATACTTCTGTTGTGTCAGGCAACCTTTCACACACATACATACATCATTTTATATTCCTATTTAATCCGTGTCTGATCAATGAAGAATTTTGATACACTAGAAGTATGACTAGAGAGAAGTAGAACTTTGCAAAAGAAACCTAATTTAATTTAATTTGTAACCAGTAGTAATATATTCTCTTTCATCTTATTTATATAATTAACCGATAGGTTATCCATTTGTTTGTTCCTAATTTTATTTTGTAGTGTGTTGTATGATATAGGGTGGAGATGTGTGTGCATAACTGCTTTTATCTGCTGTATAAGCTTATTAAATATTTTATTAAAAGGCTCAAAGATTGATGTTCTTAATGAGAGTAGGATATTCCCTGTATCCCCTTTTTCAGTTTTGTAATATTGTTTGGGTTATGTCTTTACTGAGGGATCCTTTTCTTTGATTCACCGAATTGGGTTCATTTAATATTTCATCTTTGAACACATATTCCTAAGGTAGGCTTGAAAATGTAACTTGTTTTTAGAAGGTTTGCAGGCAGGCTGTGTGGCTAGGACTGCAGAAAGTAATTTAACACAAAAATGGCAGTTACCTGATCATTGAGAATTTAATGGCATGTTATATAGAACAAAGAGGTGAAAATACTTAAAGGGACTCTCCAGTGCCAGGAAAACATATCCGTTTTCCTGGCACTGCAGGACCCTGCAGTGCCCCTCTCCCTCCCACCCTCCATCCCATGTTGCTGAAGTGGTCCCCCATGCCCCATAAACGGGCTGCGAAGCTTGAACAAATTGGTAGCATACATTGTTCTCAGTTCTTCAAACTAGCAAATCGAACTGGAGAGGCTATCACTTCAGCCAAAAAGATTGGTGAAATCCAGGCATAGTCCCTTTAATTGTTACCTATCATGAATACAAATTCCTATACATCGTGCTAGCAGAATTACTAACAAATGAGTAGATTTCTCTAAAATCCAATCCAATCTGTACCAAACCTGTGCCAATCAGCACAGAGATAAGCAGGCTGTGCTCTGCATGTCTGTTATCAGGGAAAGTCTTCAGAGTGTCTCTCCAGCTTGAATCCAGACTATGGGAAAGCAGTGTCTGTGAGGTAAAGTGTAGGGAAAGGGCAGGCTCTATGCAAGGAGACAAACAACTAGAATGGTATTTTGCAACAGATGTGGACATTTAATCTGAGAATGGAGAGCGAAAACAGATACATTTTATTTACACAAAGCCAACATAAAATGTTGTGCTCCCCAAACAGGGGTATGCAGGAGAGGTGTGTTATACAGCAAGCGTAACACTCACTGAAAACATGATTGATTGGCCTCAGCAGGAAATAGGGATAATGGAAATAAATTAAAATATGAGCTTATAGGATGGAGGTAAGAGACAATTGTAAAACATGAGTCAAGCCACATGATTAGAAAACTGCAAACATATATCTGTCATGACAGGTTCACTTTAAAGAGTTTGATTAGTGCTCAGTTCACTGCCCTTTTTTATTTTAGGTATTGACTCCACTCCAAATCTAAACAAAGAGTTTACTGACCCACTCTTCTCCCTATGCATGCTTTACCTGGATTTTAGATGCCAATATATCTAGACAGAACTAAGGAGTAATTGCTTGGTAGAATCCATGTTGACATCCCTTTCCACTGTGGTGGCAATTTATTAATGTCTTTTCAATTTGTGAAAATACATTAAATAAAATGACTGCTAAGACAAACATACGCTGCAGTACTTGTTAAACACATCCATGCATGTTATTTTATTTTTTGGTGGGGGGTGGTCACAGCACAGACTCCCTCCTTGACATCTTATTAGTTAATGTCTGATATAATGGCTACTTATGGACAGCACACATCATCGCTGACAAGCTATTTAAAATATTTTATTTTTCAATATCAGTTCTGTCTCATCTGTGTGTCTGCCTGAATCCTCCTTCCTGTGTTTTCTACCCCATAAGGTTTATGTCTTTTGTCATATCTTCCTCACGTGTGTCTCTCCACATCTCGTTCCTCACGTGTGCCTCTCTTTCTTTCTCGTGTGCGCCTCTTTCTCCCCCATTTTCTATCTCACTCGTGCTTCTTCTGCCTTCATCTTTAACCTCACATCGCTTCTCTTTCCCCATCTCTCCCTCACCTCCTCCTCAAGCCTGTACTGAAAAGGGAGCGTCAACTTGACGGCAGCAGTCATGTAGTGGGAGTTTAAGGTAAAAACTAAAATATGAACAATTAATATCACATTCAAAGGAAGATGACATTCAATCATTCATATCTCACTTTAGACTGGGGCTGCATGTTAAATGGCCTGTCAACTCACTGCCACTTCCATAGGATGCCAAGAGTTCTAGCTTTCTTTAGACAGTCCAGCATTTTGGCATTTTACCTCTGTATAAATGGGTCCTGGGACCCCTCTTGCTTTTTGAAATCTGCCCAGAAATTTAAATCTGTCAGGCAGACTTCAGGATGCAGGAGGGGACAGAGTATTAGGACCATGCACAAAGCGCTTCACCTGCACTCAGTGAATGATCTGCTTTGGGGGCGCAGTCTTCCCGCCTACTTTAGGGGAGGTCCTGGACACTTTTTGGGTGCGACTGCCCATATTACAGGAAGGTCCACACTTCTGCAGCCTTCTATCTTGCCTGCCCACCACTGTCCCAGAAGGTAGGCAGGCAAAATTGTCAGGTATACTCTCATGAAGGGATGTTATATACAGATCACTCTGTATTTAAAAGCTGCAAAGAAATAAGGTAGAACACTTAATTTGTATCTCTGCAGTGTAGAAGTATTTTTTATTTTGTAAAGAGGAATCTCCTGTACTGTAATCAATGTAAGAGAATGTCAGGAAAAAAACTGTGCAAGTTTAGTGTTCGATGGGGAAAGGTTATGTTTGTTATTTAATTCTTAATTCACTTACAAATAAGTGGCCCACAAGGGCCATGTTGGATGAAGATGGCAAACATTTACTAAATTAATTTGATAAATTCATTTAACGGAAATCAAGCAGTGTCATGACTAATATTAGATCAACAGCCAATCTTTGTAAGTCTTGAGCAAGCTTGTTTCCATATACACCCATATACACAGAAATAGCAATACGTATTATAGTGTGTGTGTGTGTGTGTGTGTGTGTATATATATATATATAAACTATATAAATGCAAATGTAAAAAGTTCCTAAAATCTAGTGGTGGTGCTACAATCACCTTCGTGGGCCACACTACCACAAATAAATCAAGTGAACAATAAAAGCAAATAATGGTGAGAGCACTCAAAATAAATAATTATACCCACAATGCAGTCACTCAATCTAAAATGATAAACCAATAGAGAAAGTTCATTCAGGATGCAGAATGTTTAATTTATTTCCTATCAATTGGAACAATACATTTTTTGTAACCCCCTACATTCTGCGTCCTGAATGAACTTGGAGGTACCAGATACAGAATATTTGGAAGTTCCTGCCAGAAGTCCTTTAAACCATTTATTCGAGGCATGCAGTTTGAGCCAGCTTGTTAAGTGGCTCTATATATGTGAGTGAGACCAACACCTGTTTTTTAATTATTTTATCCAAACTATATTACCCTATGTCTTTCTCTCTTGGTTTATCCTTTTAGATTGACTGACTTCATTGTGGGTATAATTATTTATTTTGAGTGCTCTCACCATTATTTGCTTTTAATAATATATATATATATATATATATATATAGCGCTAGGTCTGGAAATATTTGGAAACGGACACAAGTTTTGTTATTTCGGCTGCTAATCAAAATAACTTCAACTTACAGTTAAATAATGAATATGGACTTATTTGGCTGTAATTTGAGGGTATTCCCATTCAAATTGGAGGATGGGTTTAGGAATTACAGCTCTTTAATGTGTAGCCCCCCTTTTTTTCAAGCAACCAAATGTAATTGGACAATTGACTCAAATACTGTTTCATGGACAGGTGTGGGCTATTTATTTGTTATTTCTTTTAAATTAAGCAGGTAAAGGGTCTGTAGTTAATTCCAGGTTTGGCAGTTGGAGGCTGTTGCTGTGAACCCACAACATGCTGTCAAAGTAGCTTTCAATGCATGTGAAACAGGCAATTCTTAGGCTGCAAGACCAAATAAATCCATCAGAAAAATAGCAGGAACATTATTAGTGGCCAAGTCAATCACCTAATTTCCACCTGATCGAGCATTAATTTCACTTGCTGGAGACAAAACTGAACACTGAAAGACCCACAAACAAATAACAACTGAAGACAGGGGTAAAGGCCTGGCAAAGCATCACAAAAGAGGAAACTCAGCATTTGGTAATGTCCATGTGTTCCAGACTTCAAGCAGTCATTGCCTACAAAGGATTCCCAACAAATAATTACAAATTAACATTTTATTTATGATTGTGTTAATTTGTCCAATTACATTTGAGCCCCTGAAGGTTTCATACGATATTTATGTTCAAACCCTTGAATTGAACCTGAAGGTGTGCACTTCAGCTACATCTCTATTGTTTCATTTCAAAACCATTGTGGTGACATACAAAGCCAAAATTATCCAAATAATTAATTTAATAAATTTTGTGTGTGTGTGTGTGTGTGTATATATATATATATGAAACCAAGAGGGCTGCACTCACCTGAACATGCATACGTTATAGGGTGCTGCTGGGGCCAAAATATACAAAATACACAATCCTGCGCACTTGCTTATTCACTAAAGAATTATTTCAAATCTTACAGATTGTGGTAGTTTTATTTAAAAACACCTCACCTAGACAAAAAAGAATGGCGGTTTAGTTACATTATATGATCATATATGGCATAAGCCTGCCTCAACATCAATGTACCCCATTCTTGGCAGGCCCTACTCCATTAGCAATACATGTACCAGAGTACTGATCTGTATTGCTTCAGACCTGAGGAAGAGAGGAAAACTCTTGAAAGCTTGTCTTTGAAATATTATGTTAGTCCAATAAAAAGGTATCATTGCATACTGCAAAAAAATTGTATTGTGGCATCGTCTACGGGACTAATACGGCTAATCCAGTCTACACTAAATATCAATTTATAAAAAAAAAAATGCTAGTGAGTTTTGTGATTATTTTTTGAAATGTTTAGTAAAATTTGACAGTAAATTTTACTTGTTGTTTCCTTGAAAAATTATTGGGAATGCTTTGTGAAGTATTATTGCCGAAATATATTCATGTACTGTAAATCTAATTTTCAACCTGTTCCAACAGAGTTTTATGGACCAAATGTTCTAACTGATCCCTCGTTTGCTTGAAGCCCCATTCTCCGCTTGTCGTGTCAACCTACTGGACAGAAGTATGTTGAGTGCAGTGTGTCTTCACTCAATTTCTCATCGCATTAAGCATTATATTTTTCAGCCTGATACAGCCAATATTTGATATCTTCATACATGAACTTTACTGTACATTTCAATACTTGCAGCAAAAATATAATTGAAACATTTTGTCTTTTTATTATTACGGAGATAAATCCTTTATGTGAAATGTAGTTTTGAAAGCTGTAAGAAACGTGTCTCCCTTCTTCCAGATTATTAGCGTTCTGCATTTCCAACAGTATTTCTTTCATTATGTTTTGTTTTTCTGATCTCATCTTTTTATTTTTTATTTTATCTTACAAAATATTTATTTTGCTTCCATAGGTTTATGATAGAATTATGAGTGTGAAAGCAAGTACCAAAGAGAAAATGTTGCTTAGGTTTATTCCAGAGCCTCCCATAAATTATATTCGTATGTGAACCATGTAAATTATATTTTTAACACAAACATGCCTATATACATGCATGCTATGTAAACATGTCTTATAAAACATCTGTTTATGGAATCGTTTAATTTTTCTTGCTAACAACTAGAAAGAAAGGGAGCCTTTAATCTGTTTCTAAATATAAATAATATTGGATAAAATAAATGACATTTTGTTCACTTGTGTTTAAAAACCCATTTAAGCATTTGCGAATAATGAGTCATAACAAATTACAATTTGTGTATAAACTTACATGGGATACTGCTCATTGCTAACCACTAAATTACATGCATGGCTTCATTACTCTCCTTATTTTTAAGCTTTTAAAATACCTTATTGTTTAGGAAACCATACACTGATTTCTAAATAAAGTGTTTTGGATGAAAGCTTGTAATGTGTGATCAACCAACAGGTGATCAATTTGAACCCCGATATCACATTTAGACACATGGATTTCTACAAGATCAATAAAACCATAAATTATGGCTACTTTAGTTCAACGCATATCATTACTCCCAGGTACGGCATTATATAAGTCATAGAATGGAGCACTAAATGGTTAAATATAAGACATTCTGCCTTAAAGGGAAAATTAAAACAAAATTATGTTTGAATATAGTTAAGCATCCTGTTATATCTTGTTTCATATAGTTGTCACTTTCCACAATATTTTAACTGTCATATTCTTTGAATAAACCAATTATGTGGATGATTTTACAATTCTTGTATTTCCTATCATTGTTTTTTGCACACTGTAGCTATAGGAAAGCTCTTAATCAAGATGAAAATATCACGAACAACTAATAGAAAAGTCTGATATGAATGAATTGGTATTTCAACCATATGGAAATACAAATAAAACTTAAAGGATCACTATAGGGTCAGGAACACAAACATGTATTCCTGACCCTATAGTGTTAAAACCACCATCTAGCCCCCCCCTGGGCCCCTCATGCCTCCATAAATATAGCAAAATCTTACTGTATTCAAGCCTGAAACTGTAACTCTGCATGCTGTTTGCCTCAGAAAATAACAAGCAGTCTGCTGACATCATCAGAAGTGGTAGCCTGATCCAATCACAATGCTTCCCCATAGGACTGGCTTCAAACACAGCCCTGGCCAATCAGCATCTCTTCATAGAGATGAATTGAATCAATGAATCTCTATGAGGAAAGTTCAGTGTCTGCATGCAGAGGGAGGAGACACTGAATGTTTGGATACATTTTAGGCAGCCATGACCCAGGAAGGATTTCTAACAGCTATCTGAGGAGTGGCCAGTGAAATTATCACTAGGCTGTAATGTAAACACTGCATTTTCTCTGAAAAGACAGTGTTTGCAGCAAAAAGCCTGAAGGTAATTATTTATTATTATTTATTATTGCTATTTATAAAGCGCACACAGATTCCGCAGCGCTGTACAATTAGCTGAGAAACGTACAATATACACAAACAAATACAAGAGGTAATGATTCTATTCACCAGAACAAATTCAATAAGCTGTAGTTGTTCTGGTGACTATAGTGTCCTTTTAAGCTAGAAAGAAATGAATAATGGGGAATGGGTGCGTTGAAATGATCTAGAATGTGGAGAGTCATCTAAAAAGAGGAAATGTCCAGAGATAAAATAGATGGTAAATAAATTATTTTTTTCTGATCAACCCATGGCAGCATTAAAGGGACACTATATTCACCTGAACAACTTTAGCTTAATGAAGCAGTTTTGGTGTATAGAACATGCCCCTGCAGCCTCACTGCTCAATCCTCTGCCATTTAGGAGTTAAATCCCTTTGTTTATGAACCCTAGTCACACCTCCCTGCATGTGACTTGCACAGCCTTCCATAAACACTTCCTGTAAAGAGAGCCCTATTTAGGCTTTCTTTATTGCAAGTTCTGTTTAATTAAGATTTTCTTATCCCCTGCTATGTTAATAGCTTGCTAGACCCTGCAAGAGCCTCGTGTATGTGATTAAAGTTCAATTTAGAGATTGGCATACAATTATTTAAGGTAAATTACAAATGTTTGAAAGTGAAAACAGTTTTTTTTCCCATGCAGGCTCTGTCAGTCATAGCCAGGGGAGGTGTGGCTAGGGCTGCATAAACAGAAACAACGTGATTTAACTCCTAAATGACAGTGAATTGAGCAGTGAAATTGCAGGGGAATGATCTATACACTAAAACTGCTTTATTTAGCTAAAGTAATTTAGGTGACTATAGTGTTCCTTTAACCAATGGTTAGCTCCTCCCCTCACCATGGACTTATGCATTAACACATTTCTGCTTTTCTTGTCTCTGTGTAAAATCAGCTGCTGGGAATACTCAAATAAGTCACACCAGTTCAGATGGATTATCAATAAGCATTCAAAGGTTTTAATGTGTCGTACATCGTATATATAAAATGGCATTAGTCTACTACGCTTGTGTACATGAAAACAAAGGACAATTACTTTCTACTTGAGAACGTCTTAGCTAAGCTATGCAAGGTTAACAAAAAGTCACATTTTTATGAGAAAGAGAAGAATGGCTTCAGAAACTGCTGACAGACAATTTAGCTTTTAGCTCCTGCAGACATGGAAGGACTTAACTAGAGCGAAGGTTTTAACCCTTTATTTACTTTTATCTATGACAATTCCCCTCTTCTGACGCCACAGGTGATAGTTCTAGGCATGGTATATCCAGTTATACTAGTTATACCTGTGGGTCTTGAATTAGATCTTCACCTCCGTTCCCTTGCCATCTCACACCAAATGAGCCATCAAGGAAGACTTGTCCAGATATTTGTGGGTTACATGATAATAATATGTGTTATTAAATCCACATCTCATTTTGCAATACATCCATAGGTAGGTATATACATATATATATATATATATATATATATATCTGTATGTCTAGGGGAATATTCACTAAGCATGGCTTAGGTAAAACAATTTATTTTCCATCAGGATATAAAGCAGAAGTCTATAATATCATATATATATATATATATATATATATATATATATATTATCTTATACTATTTTTTTGTAACAACTCTGTTAGTTTGCTTTCTAACGTTAAGGGAAATTATCGTAGATTTTGAAAAAGCTGAAGGCAGTTACTAGGGAAATTTTAAATCTAGAAATTATAGCTAATCTGGATAAAAGTAATCTAGAATAAAAAGGTACAGTATATATACAATATGAAAAGAAACAGTGACTTTGTTAACTTTCAAAACAAACAGAAGGCATGTTGTCAAAAGAAAGTTGAAAAATACAGAATCCTTTACTTAAAGGGACACTCCAGGCACCCAGACCACTTCTGCCCATTGGAGTGGTCTGGGTGCCAACTCCCACTACTCTTAACCCTGCAAGTGTAATTATTGCAGTTTTTTATAAACTGCAATAATTACCTTGCAGGGTTAACTGCACCTCTAGTGGCTGTCTACTAGACAGTCACTAGAGGGCACTTCCGTCCTGTGTGAGGACCTCCAGCATCGCTCATTTCCCCATAGGAAAGCATTGAAAAGCATTTTCAATGCTTTCCTATGGGGAGCTCTAATGCACATGCGCGGCATTGCTGCGCATGCGCATTAGGTCTCCCCAGCCGGTGGGCAGGATCAGTCTTGCCCACCGGCCTACGCAATCACTGGGAGGAGCGGCGGCGGAGGAAGAAGCAGCGTTTTCCCCTAACCGGGGATAGGGGGTGGGAGGGAGAGGGGACCTGCAGTTCCAGGAAAACGGATTGTTTTCCTGGCACTGGAGGTTCCCTTTAAGGCAAAATAATAAGGAAGAAAAATATATATTTTTAGAGAAGGGGCCAGAATCAAGAAGAGGGCATATCATTCACATTTTCTCTCCAAAACTCCTGAGGGTAGATATGAGCAACAGGTATGCCCCATTGGGGGACTGGAATGCTCCAGGGAAGAGACTGAGTGTAAGTGGAGACCTGGAAAGTATACAGAACAACTAATTAAAAAAAAAAAAAAGGAAAGTTGAGCATCTTTAAAGGGATACTATAAGTGCCAGGAATACAAAGCTTCATTTCTGGCACTATAGCCCCTCTGCCACCTCCCTCCCTCGCGCACTCCCCTCCTCAGTGAATAAAGGGTTAAAAAAAGCTTTATTTACGTACCTTATCCCAGCGCCGATGTCCCTTGGCGCCGGGTCCCGCCTCCTTCGACGACGCTTGATGAAGGGGCTTTCCTATAGTTAAACATCTGATACTGGATGTCCTCATGCAGAGCGCGAGGACGTCCAGCGTCAGATACCAGACCATAGGTCCGTTTGGATGCAGAAAGTGCCTCCAGTGGCTGTCTCTTACACAGCCACTGCAAACAGACTTAGAGCTGCAATGTAAACATTGCAGTTTCTCTGGAACTGCAATGTTTAACATGGCAGCACTAAGGGCAATAGGGACATTGCATCCAGACCACTTCATTTAGCTCAAGAGGTCTGGGTGCCTATAGTGTCCCTTTAATATTTCTGTTACTTGTTTAAATAATAAAGAATATAATATACTTAAGAAAGGTTTAAAGTTTGCCCCCCAAAATATAATTTGTCAAGATCTAAAACAAAAGTGAGAAGCACAAAATATTCACATATTCATTCCTATTTATTGGAATTATTGCATTTTTATATAATGACCTTTCACATGTGAATGAATTTGAAAGCAGTAAGTAATAAAGCAAGGATTTTACGGTTCCTCATGCCATTATCCCAGTAAATTCTATCAAAGTACTTATTCTAGTGAAAAGTACAACAGAGGTAAGTCTCAAATGCACTTTTGTGTTTATGTCATAACACCATGATGCTCTTTGTGCTCACATACACAATCAGGCACTCTTTCCTAATCATGGTTGTCAACCTAAGTTGTATGGTATGATCTAGTTGTGCCTGGACAGCCAAGTATAAAATGTAACTGAAACAGTATAAACACTCTGTAATTTCTTTCTGAGGATGAATTCTCATGCTTGCAAATGCATTTGTTTTTTTGGATTGTTTATTTTTGTGTGCGGGTAGGTACAGAATATAATCAGGCGCCACAACAGCGTATTGCAAGAGTAACATACATTAGGTAGTAGCATGAGAATTCGCACATTTTTATAATTTTATCCAGCTTAATTAAACGATTATACTTACAGCGTAAAAGCGAGTAAAACAAGTGAGCAAAATCAATGCTTAACAGGTTTAGATTAACTGTTAGTGTCAGTATGATGTGAATAACATTCAGTCTTGCCTCGCCATAACGGCTGTATGCAACCATGCATGCTAGTGAAAATGATCTATTCTACATGTTATATGTTAGGCAGCATTTAACACGCAGTTTCGAATATATAAGTAGGCAACTTTTAACACAGGCATTTTTCCATTGGGCTGCGTGACTGGCTTGGGCGTTTAAGCCTGTGGGTAATCGGTAGAGCTAGGACACATTTCTTAATACTGTTCTATCAATGCGCGTATCCAGACAGTTGTGGGTAGGTGTTAAACTAGTATGCATATTAGGCAAATTTGGAGCTTGCGTTGCACTTTAATCTGGGGCACTGTACAGAGGCAAATAACATTTGCATCTAATATGTGCATACAACATTTGCCTGTAACGTTGCAAGGAAATATGTAGGGTATCAAAGTGGGGTGTCCTGCTTGGGAACAGGGTCCTGTGTGTTGTAGCCGATTGATCTGCTAAGAGGGCGAGAGGGGAACATATGAGCCGCCTTGGGTGCATCAAATAATAACGGTATGGACACAATGTAAGTCCCGCTCTGTCCGATATGAGCTTCTCGTGCCAGTAACTGGGTATCACAGGCTAGGAAGTCTAGCAGAAATTAGCTTAGGCAGGCTATGTAGATTGATATTGCCAGAGAGGATAACAATATGGTGCTTCCAGTAATCGATGCAGTGGGTAGGGCAAAAAAGGTCGCAAGCATTATAACAGTGATAGTAACTGGCTATAGGTATAGGGGCAGCGCGTGTTTCAGCCAATATCCAGCCTGTCTATAGAGAAAATATTAACGTACAACGGGTACATTACCAGGAGACCTAGCTGGGCTCAGAGTGCAATAAAAATGGGTGGCATCCAGGGTTAGTAAGGCAGTTCATTCGCATCTAGCAGAGTAAGGCTGATGGATCCCCCCCCGGTGCACCTTTATTATAGTCCACAGTCACCCTATACCTTGCATCGGTAGGGCACAGTCCCAGCCCGCACTGGGGCATGCCATGCTTTGGGGTCCAGATGATAGGCAGTGCAGTTTGGCGACCAGAGTTTGGTCTCTCTGCAGCTTCTCAGGTTTGGGCTTGCTCCACGGCGATTCCCGCCTCCGTACCGTCGCTTGTGGGTCTTTGCCAGGTCGGCATGTGGAAGAGCCTCACTTTTCGCAGTGGCCCACGGATCGGATATGCACTCGGTCCTGTCGAGTTTTCCATCCGGGGGTTAGTCTGCTGCTCCGGTTGGATATGTGAGCCCGCTGTTTAACGTGTGGGGTTGGTCGGTGTCTCAAGCCCTCCGGGTGCCGAGTTTGACTCGCGTCGGCCATTTTGTGCACTCCACGTGGGTGCGGTAATGAGCAGGTGCCTTGTTTGAGTGTGGCGCTCTGCTGCATGCGCCCCTCCAGCTCATCCCAGAATGCCCGGAAAATCGCGTCTAGCCTTGCAGCGTAGGCATTGTGTTCTGGGCTTGAGTTCCCTGTGCTTGCCCTGGGTTTTGTGGGTGCTACTGCGGCAGCAGTTTCAGGAGTACCTCGGGTCCGTTTGGTTACATGCTGAGTTGTGGGGATAGTCGTCCCCAGCGAGGACAGGGATAACCCCCGCCGGTCCGGGGGGGGGGCAGCAGGGCTATAGTGGGCTCTCGGATATGAGCGTGTCCCATGCCAGAGGATCGGCCGCCTCCCCCAGGCTCTTGGCTCCGCTCCGTAGTAGGCTGCATGGCCGGTTGCAGTAGTCGCTTGGTGTACCGGGTGAGGAGAGGTATCCCCCTAATCCCTGCTTGATTCCGCTTCAGTTTCCGAGCCTCCCGGGCTGCTTGTGCCAATATCTCGTTCTGAAGTAGCGTGTTTGCGCCCGCCGGACCAGGAGCTCTCAGAAAACTCGACCGGCCATCTTGGCTGTCAGGCCCCGCCCCCCGCAAACGCATTTGTTATATCCCACCACTCCAACATTCATGTCTTTAAACATTGAATAAATGATTAAGTATTGCAAATGGCCATGGAAATCACTGACCATTTCCACCCTCACATTTATTTCACTGGTATTCTCTGTTTTGATGATAACTTTGGTTTCAGGGCTTCGTAGAAACAGACATTCAATGGCTTTCCTGATATTATTCACCCTACGGATAAAATTATGTATGGGAAGCAGTCTGAAGTGCATTCCCAAAGTGAATATTATAACTGTGTTGGTCTCCGGGAATCTGGTCAATTAATTGTGGTATGGTGAAATCCTCTTTGTAGTTATTGAATTTAATAATTATAAAGGTTCAGCATTTTTTCTGAACTGTATTTTAATGTTTCTCTCCAAGTCAATGTACAAATGATTCATTGACCATCATCCTCCATAAATCTTAAATGGTTTTAGACCTAAAAAGAAAGAGAACAGAAAATTTTGGTACAATACACTCAGATAATCATATTCCACTATCCAGGATTCTGGAATCTTGTATTCTACTAACTGTTCTTCATTGATTTCTGTGAACTGTTTTTAAATATGTTCCTTATCCTTTATTAATGTTAAAGCTTCACCCTGGTTTTGTTACTATTTTCCCATTTCATGTCAATTCTTTTAAACCAATTTAAAAAAAATGTGTTCATAAAACATTGGTTTTGGCTAGAGTAACTATTTCTGTAATGGTCTTCCTCACCGATCAATGTAAAAAAAACCTTAAACTTACTTCTTTTCCATCGCCTAGTCCAAGTTCTCCACCTCAACCTGATCCTCACAGTGCAGATGGAAACACTGACACACATGCAGATACACAGACAAAAATGCAGCTAATATTATACAAACACTGTCACACATATAGACACACATGCGGATGCATAGGCACACAGATACAAACACTGACATACATACAGATAGATGTAAAATCACACAAAGATACAGATACTGTGTCTGTTAGTGTGTGTCTGACTGTGTGTGTCTTCTAGTGTGTATGTGTGTCTGACTGTGTGTCAGTGAGTGTGTGTGTCTGCTAGTGAGTGTGTGTATGTGTCTGTTAGTGTGTGTGTGTATGTCTGTTAGTGTGTGTGTCTGACTATGTGTGTGTCTGTTAGTGTGAGTGTGTTTGCCTGTGAGTGTGTGTGTCAGTGAGTGTGTGTCTGTTAATGTGTGTGTGTGTTTGTAAGTGTGTGTGTCTGACTGTGTGAGTGTGAGTGTGTGTGTGTCTGCTAGTGTGTGTCTGCTAATGAGTGAGTGTGTGTCTGTTAGTGTGTGTCTGACTGTGTGTGTCTGCTAATGAGTGAGTGTGTGTCTGACTGTGTGTGTCTGTTAGTGTGCATGTGTGTGTCTGACTGTGTGTCAGTGAGTGTGTGTGTCTGCTAGTGAGTGTGTGTGTCTGACTATGTGTGTGTCTGTTAGTGTGAGTGTGTTTTCCTGTGAGTGTGTGTGTCAGTGAGTGTGTGTCTGTTAATGTGTGTGTGTTTGTGTGTGTGTGTGTGTGTGTGTCTGCTAGTGTGTGTCTGCTAGTGAGTGAGTGTGTGTCTGTTAGTGTGTGTGTGTCTGACTGTGTTTGTCTGTTAGTGTGTATGTGTGTGTCTGTGTGTGTCTGCTAGTGAGTGTGTGTGTGTCTGTTAGTGTGTGTGTCTGTTAGTGTGTGTGTCTGACTGTGTGTGTCTGTTAGTGTGAGTGTGATTGCCTGTGAGTGTGTGTGTCAGTGAGTGTGTGTCTGTTAATGTGTGTGTGTTTGTTAGTGTGAGTGTGTTTGCCTGTGAGTGTGTGTGTCAGTGAGTGTGTGTGTCAGTGAGTGTGTGTCTGTTAGTGAGTGTGAGTGTGTCTGTTAGTGTGTGTGTGTGTTCTGTTAGCGAGTGTATGCCTATCTGTCAGTGAATGTGTGTGTGTATTTAGAAGGCTTGGGGGGGGGCTGGTGCGGGGGGGCGCCTGAATTTTACCTACCTTTTGGAGGGCTGGTGTGGGGCCTCTCCCTGTGGTCCAGTGTGGGGCAGTTCCTCACTCCTCCCACGCTCTATTCAGTATGGCAGGGCTTGAATGACATCACATTCCATATCCCGGAATCACAGAGTGTGCACAAGGGAGGTGTGAGGAACTGCCAGATCAGGTCCTGCACATAACGGCACAGTAGGCACCTGCCATGTGGAGTAAGCAGGTGCGTACTCTGCTGGGTGGCTCACGGTTGCAGAGGTCGAGGGGTCGAGAGGGCGGATGGGCCCTCTAGAATGATGGGCACGCAGCTGAAACCCCTACGACCGTGGTAGTTTTGCCAATGTACACACACTAGAACCCCTATACACACTCTGAATCCTCTACACACACATACACAGTAGATCTCCTATACAAACTCTGGGTCTTCCACACACACACACCGCCTTACATACTGCACCACCAAAACAAGCTACATTCCTGAAATACACACTCTAGATCCCCTACACACACACTAGAAGTATAAGCAAGCACACACTCTTTACATCCCCTGTACACACTACGCAACCTATATACACACAGTCTCCTACTCTCTACAGCCCCAAGCCACACATATTACACCACAAACACAACTGAAACAACATTTTTACAAAACATACCACACGACAATCATCTCACTCTACAAACACGCAAACCCACAAGCAGACTCCAAACACATGCACAATACACTTTCCTGGCCCTTTTGTCCTCTGGTTTCCCACTTATGGAGACACCAAAGACAAGTTACAAGCAAACAGTGCAAGCATGTCAATAAATATGGTTGGCTGTGCAGAACAATTGCAGGGTCTTTTTCTCATGCAAGAGCTTTTCAGCAGGGCTCTGCGCACTGAACCAACATGCTGACTTTGGGCGTGCTTGTTTGTAATTGGTGATGACAAAACACACTCTCTCTGGCCCTGCCCCCTTCTCGGTGGGTTGCTGTTATTCAAAAATGCCCTCTCCATGCAAAGAAGGACTTAAGTGCTTGATAGGTATACTAAATTCAGTTTGCAAGCAAGCTCAGCACTCCCATACACTGACACCCAAGATTGTGGCTGCTACAAGGCACTAAGGACAGCCCACTTATTCTACCTGTACTATACGCCCGAGAAGACTGTCATGTATGCAGGCCTGAATTGTAGGGCTTGCATAATGAGATGGACCAATGGGGGCATTGTTTCAGTGGGCAGAGTTTACTAAGAAGGTTATACGTTTATAGTTACATCGGCTGAAAAGACACGTGTCCATCAAGTGCAGCCTTTCTCACATCTGTTTTTTGCTATTGATCCAAAAGAAGACAAGAAAAACAGTTTAAAGCATTTCCAATTTTGCAACAAACTAGGAAAAACAATTTTGGAACCTGCAGATGTATCCAACTAAATGGCTAAATGTGGTGCAAGGATGGATGATTTTGATCACCGATCACCATACGGATCAATTTGCCCAGGCCTTGCAAATTATCTTAGCACGTACAGCTCATTTACAGCCAGAGGCATAAGCCACTGCTGTAGCGCATACTGTTACTCCTCCACCTATGGCAGGTAATTACCCTCCTCCTGTTCACATTACTCCCCCACAGGGTTATAATGGGGATCCCCTGCTGTGTCATGGTTTTCTAAACCAAGTAGATCTACACTTGTAAATTAACCAACATTTATACTTTAGGAACAGGTCTAAGATTGCTTTTCTGATGAACCATCTGATAGAAAGAGCATTGGCTTGGGCTAATTCTAATACATAGAAACATAGAATGTGATGGCAGATAAGAACCTTTTGGCCCATCTAGTCTGCCCAATTTTCTGAATACTTTCATTAGTCCCTGGCCTTATCTTATAGCCTTATGCCTATCCCACACATGCTTAAACGTCTTTACTGTGTTAACCTCTACCACTTCAGCTGGAAGGATATTCCATGCATCCACTACCCTCTCAGTAAAGTAATGCTTCCTGATATTATTCTTACGCCTTTGCCCCTCTAATTTAAAGGGACACTATAGTCACCCAGACCCCTTCAGCTCAATGAAGTGGTCTGGGTGCCATGTCCCTCTGGTTTTAACCCTTCAGATGCAAATGTAGCAGTTTCAGAGAAACTGCTATGTTTACATTTGGGGTTAAGCCAGCCTATAGTGGCTGTCTTCCGGACAGTCACTAGAGGCGCATCTGCGACGCTGGAGGCATATTATGCCTCCATCGTGCAGAGCGTCCATAGGAAAGCATTGAGAAATGCTTTACATGTGCACAGACGTTATTCGGCATGTGCTAACTATACTGAAATAATACACAGACACCAATTATTCTGTTGGAGTATAATGTCCACAGCTTTATTAATTATTCAAATATTTAAATGAACAATTTAGGGTCATTGTCAACAGTAATAACTTTGTTCCACTCTATCCCCCAAAATACCCCTGACAATGACCCTACCAAAGAACAAAACGAACATTATAAATAATACATAACAAATAACATCCAGCCTACCAAAGAGGCCCCACAACATTTGCCTACCTGCAGGGGTGTACCCAGACACCCCTATACCCCTTGGTTCGTAGCCACCGATGGGCTCGAACCTCCCAAACACTTTAACTCCGGCCTACTCCAGCCTAGACCTTGGCCTAACACTTTCCTAACCCACAAAATTCCTGTTTAACCAAGCCCTTTTTCCGCCACAGCGCATGACTTGACCCCTTAAGATCATGTGCGACCCCCACCACACATAAACAGGGCTTGAGCAATACCATCCTGTAAACCTAAATTAAACAAATCACAACCCACGTCAGACAGGTGCACTCCGTCTGGTCTAAAGTAACCCGGTAACCTCTCCTCCAATTCCCAGTGTCGAACTACTACACCCCCTATTCTACGAATGAAGCCCGCCATGGTCTTATTGACCTTACCCCGGCATTGGGCAACCGCGGCCATGTCCCTGGCGTGCCTCCACTTGCAGCGAGGCACCATCTCAGACCACACTACTGTCAC